CCAACAGTGGAATATGAATAGTAGCAAGCACAAACATGGCAGACGTAAAAGTGGGAATGCTTTCTTCGTCATACTGTATACGTGTTTTGTTAAAGGTGATCCTTGATGTTATAATTCTAAGAGCATTAAACACTTTGAAAGGGAAAAGGGTTGCCAGCTCTGCTCCAGATTTCAGATTAACATATTACAGTATGTCATCAGTTCCCTCTCTGCCCACAAATGAGTTTAATTATTTTGTCAGACAGACGGAAAGATTTAAACGGCTTCATATTTGTATTCTGTGCCTCTATTGTAACATGTTTCCATGCTTTAATGTTCAAAAAGCTCTTTATTTTTCTCATACTGCCTGTGCTGCAGCATATCTTTTCACCATCTGTCTGAAAACAGATCCCAGCACTGTGATGATTGATCAACTGCTTATAGATGTCCCGCCCCTTAGCCTATCATGTACAATGTGTTGTAGCGCTAGCCGATAGAAGCGCGAGTGTTACATAGTGAGGTCACTATGTCACATGAGTAAACAAAGGAGTCTAATGGAGGTGTTTCATGCGGGGGGAGTGTGTGGGAGAGATGTTCTCTTTCCGGATTTGAACACACACAACTGCATAATAAAGGTCCACCTCTTGTAGTGCCTGCATTGTTTCTACTTTCAGAACCTATTCCACATTTTCAGGTTTCATCAAAATTGACCATGGTGTACAAGCCAAGCCACATTTATCAAACTTTATGATGATGTTATTATGAGTATATGCCTTTAAATAAAAGAACAGGACAGCCAGAGAAGCATATTGCCAGAGAAATCCTAGACAGATCACCTGCTCCTGGCGTATTGTATTTCAAAGCAATTAAGCCTTTTTGAATCAATGCTTCAGAATTCACTTTTAATGACACCTCCAGGCGAGGCTTTTTGGGGGTCTGTGACAGTACAATTAATAATGATCTATTGCTGCAACTTGTCTTCCAAGGTTCCCCTGATGGGCTATCCCTGAAAAAAAGGCTTTACCAAGCTGTTCGAAGACAAATGGATGCATAAACAAACGCGAACAATTGTACATACCAAGACACACAGTCTCCAGAGAACCTGCCGGTTGAAGAGCGCCAGAAAGAGAGCAATAGAAATATTACATTATTATTGGCTTTTCAATAAATAGGAAATGGTCAGGGCCAAGGGAACTCAGTAGAGCAGACTCACCAATAAACGCAGCTGCTCTAGGCAAGATATTAGCTGGCGCAAAAACGATTTAACTAAAATAATAGATTTTACAGAAACCACTCTTTTTTACCACTATGTCTATACATTCATTCCAACTGTCTACTAAAAGCCTCAATCTCACACCTCAACACCTTACCCTAGCCTGACTCTCCTTGCCTTTCTGACCCGGGGGCTGCAGGGCTGGGGCAGTTCAACTTACCTGATTTTGGGGGGGGGATGTGCCATAGTTTATGGGCGCTGTATGCAATATAGACGTAGTTCTGTTAAGATAAGATAATAAGATGTACTTTGCTGATCCAAACTCGGGAAATTATTTTGTTATGTAATTTAAATAAACATTATTTTTTAAATACATGCGCCCTTAGCATTCGCCTATACTGCCTATGCCAAGGGCCGGCCCTGGAGAAACGTACATGATGAATCAACTAAAAAAAAAAAAAACGTTTTCTGTAAAGTAGCCTATAATACACGTTGAAAAGCAGTATGTATATTTTATTACACTTATTTCCCCTATTAGAGTTGACTTTTGTTGACAATTTGTCAAAATTAAGTGTGAACTCATTTTCATTTGCATTGGAAATCTTAACTGTCCCTTATGCTTTAAGTCACATTTTGTGGTCTCTATCATTGAATAGATTTTTGCTCAGTTGTAATTACATTTTGGTAAAAACAGGATGACAGTCCAACTATATAAATAGTAGCAGGATTATATAGATGTTCAAATCCCTGAAGGATCTCTTTTTGCTTAGGATTTGTTAGAATCGTGTTTTGCATGGAAAAAGTCTTCAAAATTCCTTGGTTAAAAGCATTTCCTTAGATCAATTCAGTTACAGGAAGGCTATGAGTTAAACTTATTTAGACATCTAAAGAAACAAACCATAGGCCTACGTTGTAAAGGGTTACAATTTGGCAACTGATACCATGCTCCTTTATAACCATTAATCATAATTTGAAAGTAAATCATCGTAAAATGGGACAATCTGCTGTGTGTTGATTAACAAACAAACTATTTACTGTATCGTTACTCTGAGATGAACTATTTGTACCTCTCGTCTTTCTTTTCTCATACAGTACCTTTTTCTCTGACACCCTCAAACCCAGTAGAGGAACGGTTTGTTTCACCCCTCCCACTTCACCTTTTGGGGGTAATGGTGTTCAACAATCAGTACAACAATTTTCCCGCATGGCGTTGTTGCTGTGATTCTTTATTAATCAGCGGCAGGTGTTCCCTTTACAGCTGGTTAACCCGTGCTGATGTGAAAGGCTGTCAAGCGCCATTGGTTGCCATTGGTTGCCATTGGCTTCCATTGGCTGCTGTATCTGTGCTTTGGGATTTACTTTCTTCATTCTTGCCACATCACACAGTTCAGATGCTGAGAATACAAACAGGTTTTGTAAGGTGGAAAATTCTAAATTCTTAAGACAACACGTCGAAAATATGTCTACAACTAATTAGAAATGTCTAGAAACAATGAGAAATGCTTTATTTGAATGTGAATGTTGTGCATGCTAACGATAATATTTTTAAAATTCAGATTTTTAGCAGGTGCTGTTTACCTGGTTCACCGTCTCACTTTAACATGTTACATGCTAGCTTTTTAGAATTAGCATTAAACACAGTGTGAAATCAGGTGTGAAGTGTTTGGTATTGGTTCAATTAGATTTATTAAGTTGACCTAAATCTTCTTGAAAAAATAAATATATTTTCCATTTCCAACCTACTCAAATGTCTAAACAAATCTGTTCCAAAGAACAAATCAATACTTTTAATGAATGCACTCTTCATTTCACAAAACAAGCGTCCTAGCTCTCCATATTGTGTACATAACAGCAATATGAGTTCCAGCTCATTTCAGCCTCGAAGGGCTTGCCACATTGCTTTGTTTTTCCCATTTTCATTTTGTCAAAATCGAGCTCTGAAATATTGGTAGGATGTTGTTCTGTGTTTCTTTCTGTTTAGCTTCATCATAATCTTTCGGAAGTGTTGAGCAGAAATCAAAACGACAGCACTGTCATTGCAACTTAGCATGCATGACGATACCTGGCAGTGAAAGCCTTTCTATCGCTGCTGTAAGGTTGGTGTTTTGTTGCCACTACAGCAGTTGCTTGTCGCTGTCATAAAAAAATGAATAGCCTACTGCAGGAGCTGCACTAATCCATGAAGACCATTTCTGGTATTCATCTTTTATTTCTTATTCCACACGACTGACGTCAACCCCACAGATGCATGATCCTTCAGTTTGAGGAATTGAACAATGAGCTAGGGCAATCTGAAAAATAGATTGCTTTGAAATTGTGAGCGCATTAGGCACAAACACTCCCTATTGCAATACTAGGTCACAGGCAAGTTGCCTATTTATACAACCGTGTGTCTCTGTCAAATGAATCTGGGACTCGGTTTATTCCCCAAAAAGCTACATATTTGCACTTTTTATGAATCGACCCGTATTTTGTATTTTTGTTGGGTAATCTATGGTAGGGCTAACCCATACAGTGGTGGAGCTCAAGTCAGTATTTGCAATGTAATTACATATACGCTCCCCTTGACAGTGAAACGCCACGCGTGAGGTTTAGATTATTTCCCTGTCTCAATCCAAATTGAACTGTATGAAATAAAAAGGCACATTTGTCTTGTAGTAAATAAAAAGTGCGACCTGGAGCCAATCCTGCAATTTCTCCACAGGTGAAAGAGTTGACCTGCTGAAAACCCAACCCCTGCAGGGGGGTCCGGGGGGATTCTCCCCCAGGAGATTTTTTGAAATACTAACATAAAATACACATTCTGGTACTCTCTTGAGAAGAAAAATAAATACATATATTACTACACGATATATTTAAAAAAATGAATGCCATTTTAGTTTTTTGTTACTTTGTTCTGAAAGCTGAACCTGCTGCTCCTCACAGAGAGAAGAGGGAAGAGGCTGTGAATGACTTTACATTGTGGATAAGGGTGGATAGCCCCCATTGTTCTGTGTGTCAAGATGAAAGACAGCCCACACACCTATCAATCATCAAACCGTGGGGTCTTATTTCATTACGTGTTGATTTCTATCAACACGTAATGTTGTATCGATGTAGTACTACAGTAAAAGTATTCTCCGTCAGGACTTCCTGCAACAACACCACGCCGTTATCTTGATTCTGATTGGCCAGAAGACATTATCAAAGATGTTCTATTAAGAAGACGATCACTACGTGACAAAAGTTTTCAAACCCGTTTCTAGTCTTCGGTATTTTTGTTTTTGGCGTGAGAATAGTTTGGGCAGCGTGAGAGCGTGAGATTGAGAGTGAACGCGTGTGTCACACGCCAGATGCGTGAGAGTTGGCAACCCTGAATCATTAGGCATAAAAAAAGAAAACTCTAAATTCAGATTAGAGTCAATAAAGTAGGATGATCAATATATATTGATATCATATGTCGCACATGAGTAAATGCGGGATTGTAAAGCACAGCAGTGGTATGCCACTGGGGAAGGACTGGGGATGCTGTGAATGTCAATGTGCATCCAAATTAGAGTTCATTACTTGGTACTGACACACTTTTCCTCAGCCGCATTTTCAGCCTTAGCTCTTTGTTGTTAAATAATGAATATGCATCACAGCAACAACGCTCACAAAGGTGTCTCGCCAATAATCTCTGGAAGGCATTTGACTCTTAGAGCCTATCCAAACGTGTTTAAACCTGGCTGACTGTCCTTGAATGGCTCATACTGCTGTGAGTCACACATGAATGTACATAGGCCTACTGTGAAAACACTGCCATATTCACTGAAATGTTCTTTTACAGGTCTGGTCTCAGTGTTGCCCGTCTGCGTGAGAAGACTCATCAGCGGAAGAGAAAATGGTCGGCTGAAGAGCCACAAAGGACATCACCGCTACTTATTTCATCCAGTATGCAGTGTGGCCTTCCCAGCTGCGTATCACCAGTGGTGCGATGATTCAGTTGTAACTGTGGGTAAGCATCAAACGCCTTTTTTCATTCATTAAGAATAGATGTACTACATGCAAGATATGTTTTAAAAGGGGCATTCAAGGGTCAGTTTACTCATCAAAAGGAGCGTTGCTGAAGCTGCAACACCATTGGCTCAGTCTGTAGGGACTTGTGAACCGTAGGGTCGCAGGTTCAAGTCCCTGAACAGACCTTCATTTTGAGTGGAGACTGTTACTTAAAGAGGTCCTTTGAGTGGTGCCATTGAGCAAGGTTACTATGAAATGGTGTCATTGCCATCTGTATTACCCACCCATCATACTTGCTTTTATTTCTTTTTACAAGACTTTGGCAAAGAGTTTATTAAATGGAAAATTAGGTAGTTTGACGTTTTCCTCCTTGACAAAAGATGATCATTTTCAGCCACTATTATCAAGCTTACATAGACTTAATCCAAGAGCATGTCCACAAGGTTGAGGAATCAATTTCACATCAAATGTAAGCAAAAGCTATGATGTGTGTCAGGGTTTTTGCTCCCCAAGTGCCATCAAGATTACATCGTGAATGAGCAGCGACCTCTAGGTTCAAGTCCTGCCCAGGGCCCTTAACTTTATGTCATCCCCCTCTCTCCCCTGTATTTCCTGTCTCTATTTTACTTTAAAATAAAGCAGAAATGTGCTACTAAATAAACGTGTACCTTGATGCAGCATACCGTTTAATATATATATAAATGAAGGTTTTTTATGTACAATTATTGTATTTCAGGTTTTGTTGAAAGGGTTTAAAGGGCAATCTTTGACTTTGACATGATCCCACCTCCCAATATGTATTTTCTGTGTTAGTCTGTGAAAAATACTTTCTCTGTAAAGTACCTCTCCAGTAAATGGAAAAAAGTCAGCTTTTCAACTCTGTAGAAACTATGTCTGTGCACGTATAGGATGTGTGGTAATAACACTTAGGCTGTTCTCACCTCAAGGCTTGGGCACTAATGATGTAGTTATTTACAGAGCTCAATACAAGTAATTGGCATGTACAATTATAATAAACCTCAATACACTGTCACCTTCCCTAGCAGTGGGAACAGGATCACTGTGGGAAATGTGATGACTTGCTTCCCCATGTGTGAAGCTGTAATGAATATGCCAAACACCTGTGCTCACCTTATGTCTGTTTTTCTCCTTGTTTAATTGAGCAGATCAGTTAATAACTGCATTTTTCCAGTTATGGTTCGGCGTAATGCAATAAGCCTATTAAGGAGGAGGAGAGAGCGTCCCTGAGAGAGACGGGAGGTTTGTCATCCTGAAATTCAATGTAAATGAGCCTTGTGGCATTGAGGTAGCACAGGGAGTGACTGGACTTAATAATAAGACATTCTGAAATATAATGTTGCAATCTGAAATGATGTTATATTCTCTGTTGAGACAGAGTCAGAGGTATTCATTCCTGTATATCAAAGACTGGGTGAAATTACTGTATGGTGTATGTTTATGTATTTCAATCTGTTTTATTGTACAAAGTTATTTAAGTTTCACATTGACAAGCTGTGATGAACCCCTTAATGCACCAATAGTCTTAATCGAATAATTTAATATAAATTATTCTGAAAGGGGCTATTAAACATAACAAGTACTTTTACTTTACAAGTTTATTTTGATGACAATAATTTTGTGCTTTTACATAATATTATTTTATATTGCTACTTTAGCTTAAATAAATGACTGAAGATCAGAGTACTTGTTCCACCTCTGCTAATAAGTAAGTCCTTTTAGAAAACACAATGCATTGGACGTTTTTTACATACAATTCTTACTACTTCAAGTACATAGCAAATACATTTGAAAGATACATTTTCTAGATTTCCATTTCCAAGTTGTTTCCAGTTAATGTCTTTCATATTGTAATTAGATTTTTCAAAGGGATACAAAGTGGAACCAAACACCCTGGACTCAAAGGGCACATTTCCCAGACAGAGGAGCTGCAGTCTGGTGACATCGTTTCCTGCCATTTGGCCGGTGAAAAGTTTCAGCACTGGGCGTGAAGTCCCTGCTCCTCACTGATGGCACCGATGAGTTCATTGTGTTGGCAGAGGGCACAAGCTCCTGTACCATAGAAACCTCCATGTGTTGACTCACTGTGAGACTTTAATAGTGACGGTTTTATTTTATGAACTTAAATTGTTTACCTTTTACAATTGACTGCATAGGTTGACATATTGCTCTACCAGCTCCATCCTATTATTAGCCCTTAACAATGTATCAATGGCCCTTTTGGTCTTTGTAAGGATGGGAGTCCTTTAGTGCCTGTCCCTTTCTAAGCATTACATTTAGCTACTTGTTTGCTTGACTCATGAAATGGGTGTAGGTTATTTTAAATGCCTTTTTACGTCAAGTATTTCATGGATTCTTCTCAAGACATTTGACCCCCTTCCCCTATCTCATAACTCTGGTAATCTTACTGCTTTCTGTTCTATGGTCTCTTTGTATTTTCTCTAAATTAAGTTAATTGCCTCTTGGTTCACTGATGTAGGCCTATGTATGTTTGTCGTATGCTTGTATTGAAGCGTTATTTAAGTTAAATGTATTATTATTATTAAATCCCATGTGTAAAAAATGCAAAATGATGATAGATCGGTCTTTGTTTTCTAGTATTCTAAATAGTGGTTGTGTGCAAATATGAACACAGTCATTTCATGTATTTTTTCAAAGTGATTTGACCTTTAACCCTATGTGTAACAAGATGCATATTGATGATTATTCCATCTTGTTTCTCCAGGTAATGCCGAGCCAAATAACCAATCCTGGAGATGCCGAAGAGAAGAGATATTCTTGCCATCGTGTTGATCGTGTTACCCTGGACTCTGCTCATCACTGTTTGGCACCAAAGCGCTATAGCTCCACTCCTCGCCATCCGCAAGGGTACGCACTGCACTCCACTGGCAATATCAAACCTGGAGTGGGTCCTTGAACCTAACACTTCTCTCCAGGTTTAGAAAACAGGCAGTTCATTTAGAAGCACTCACCAACATGACCATGTGCTTCATCGTAGCTCAATGACACTCGTCCAGTCATTGTAAAACTCATCACTGTGGATTGTTTGGTACATGATAAAGACAGAGAAGTTACCATCAGGTTCCCTCTCTCACACATCTAGGAGTTATTTTTATATTGTGTGTTCAATCAGTTGAATATGATGAATTGTTCAGCTGTTTCTAATCTGTTTCTATGCCGACAATGACTTTCCCAGTACAGTTGTTATGAAACAATGTCCTTTCACAGCATACGCAGCCTATCCGCTCACATGCCTCTGCCCATCAATCCACGTTTTCCTCTTGGCGTGACGCTCAGCCACGCAGAGCATGCCGTGTACAGCAGCATGTCGTCATTAATTCATCCATTTAGGTTCAGACTGTTCCCCTTTTTATACTCGTTCAAATTCAGTGGGAATTCATTTCTGTGTTTGTTTAATCAGAAATGTTAAATAATAAACGTCTCCTCAATTAGCTTCACAGGGGTATCTTGCATCCACATGTAATGTCACGTCTGCACATCAGCGTGAGTCATCAAGACACACACTCATGAGCCCCCTGATTATCCCCCAGAGACCACAAACCAACAGTTTAAAATGTCAAGTAGGCTGCAGAGTAAACAGACCCATAGAGCCGCAGCAAATCAATAAAGAGCAAATACATGGGTTAACAAACAAAACAAGTTTACAGAAATGACCCAAGGTTGTCTGGAGTCAATAGACGTAACAGATTATATTAATTAATTAGTTTATCGACACACTTATTTAAATAGTGTCTGATTAGTCAACAACCATTGAAAAGAATGCCAAAATTATTAAATCTTTTTGCCTAAAAAAACATAAAAAATATCACAAACCGTGTCGACAATTAAATACAGTGAGACACAATGAAGTATATTAAAAGTAAATTCCCAGTGCTACCTGACCCAGCTCTGCCAACAGGCTCCTTTGTGTGCGCTCTTAAAGAGAAGCTAAAATGGTTTTTTGGCAGCGTGCTGGCTGGCAGCCTTTGCTGAACATCTGGCCATCAGCAGATTGTGTTAATCTATGTACTGCAGAAAAATCCTCCTTATGTTGGAGGTGCGAGTGGAGCCGGAGAGGAGAAGTGACAAAGATGGCCATTAGCTGTGGCACAATGAACCGAAATTAACAACCTTAATGATTTTATAATCATATTCTATCCATCACGACCAAACTACTGGGGCCTTTACCCCTAGACTCAATATATGTCAGCGGACTCATTCAGCACTGTTCACAGTCAAGTCTTGCGTATAGTGTTCATATTTTACTTTTCATTTTGACATAAAAATGTATATTTAGCATATTTCAGAAGAAAAACAGCAGAAATCAGAATGTTAGCAGTAACATCACTATAGTGCTGCAGCTGCTGGTATATTTGATTATTAATTATATGAAATTACTTTCAAATGCCCAACATGATTACAAAATGAGTGCACCAATCACAGGTTATATGCTGAAAATTAGCCGTTCTCTACTTTTATCATTTCTACTTGGTGTCACCTATTGTTAAACCCCAGCCGAAAAAAAAATTCCACAGTTAATTACAGCAAATGTAGTCATGTTAAGGGATCTCTCAGGAAAATAATTTGTGTAGTAAATTTAAACGAGAACACCAGGACTAATTTCAGCTAAATGACTGTTTATTGCAGGAAAGTAACACCAAACACAAATAGGGGGAATGTCTACTGGATCCACATACCAACAAATGTTCCTTCTTTTGAAACGAATGCCCAAAGGCAACCCTGAGGGAATAGCAAGGCCATCTCTCCTCTCCCTTTCCCTTGCTGTCTCTCTGTCCATCAGCTGTGTTATCCTCTCACGGTGCCTGCTTTCACTTTTTGCAGCCTGTCACCACCTAGTAAAAGAGATCTTTATCATTCCAGAGAGGCTTGCAGTCCGCCATCACCGGCTCTCAGGTACACTTTACCCCCATTGGGTTTAAGTCACCTGAGGCAAATATACAAAGGGCAGCCCAAGGTCACACTAATGCCTTACATGTCTTCTTATCCCCAATTCTGCAGATGACGGAGTGGAGGGTAAGAGGGAGGCTGGTGGCCAGGCACAAGACTCCAAGGAATACTGTGCCTCAGATAAGGACATTGTGGAGGTGGTGAGGACAGAGTATGTGTACACGCGGCCTCCTCCCTGGTCAGATGTGCTGCCCACCATACACATCATCACCCCCACATACAGTCGGCCGGTGCAGAAGGCGGAGCTCACGCGGCTGGCCAACACCTTCCTCCACGTTCCCAACCTGCACTGGATCCTGGTGGAGGACTCCCAAAGGAGAACGCCTCTTGTCACGCGGCTCCTCCGAGAAACAGGGCTTAACTACACCCACCTCAATGTGGAGACGCCCAGGAACTATAAGCTGCGGGGTGACACCCGGGACCCCAGGATCCCCAGGGGCACCATGCAGAGGAACCTGGCCCTGCGCTGGCTGAGGGAGACCTTCAACGCTAACAGCAGCCAAGCTGGAATCGTCTACTTTGCAGACGACGACAACACATACAGCCTGGAGCTGTTTGAGGAGGTAAGAGCTGCATTCATGTTTGTTTAATGCATTGTTGTTTTTACAAATTCTTAATGAATTGGCCAAAAGAAAAATAGTAAGACAAGGCACAAAGAGTGTTGTTTGATATTTACAAAATGCTACATCAACATAACTGGATTAAGTCCTTATATATCTTATTGTATCTACAAATACACATGCAAGTCCTGCCTAGATTCTTGCACAACCCAATCACCTCTATCCTTAAAGAAGTAGTACACAGAAAAACTAAATATATTTGATATAGAAGACCAACTCAAAGGCTCTCTATGGTTCCATAAAAGGTTTATCAGTGCAACCAGACTCTGACGGAGGCCAAACGAAAGAAAAAAATATCTATAATTAATCCGTGAGGAAAAAATATCGGCAGTATTATCCAAGTGTCACCTTGTGTTGATAGCTCATGATCCATGATCCTCCCTTGTAGTCATCTGTTGTGAAGGTGTGTCCCTGCTCACTAACTTGTGCTTTTAATTGAGAACCGCCTTCTAGGGAACTACTACTTTAATCAAATTATAAAGTATTCAAACTTCTATCATAAAACTAGTCATCTAAAGCAGGGGTCGGCAACCTTTTTGATATGAAGTGCCATTAAAAAAGAAAATTGTGATCAGTGTGCCGACGCTCGTGAACTGTCAACAGGAGGGTGGGGGGAGCCTCGCTGCGGGGAAGCAGTGCATGTACCTCTTTCACCTTTCAGCGCAACTTAGGCTAAATGATGCCGTTTAAACAAATTTATAAAATGCATATTTTTATAATAATAATAAGGATGACGGACCGTTCTGTGATTCTCCAGCACACACAGATGGCCAGTACGCTGTGTAGCATATTATTTTGATGAGAGATGAGCAGATCGCAACTTGGCTTTCAACTAAAGACACAGCCACGCAAAATCTGCGGCATTTGTACAGCTCCTTATGGGTACTGCAATTAGTGAAGTGCCGGCGCGGCAGCAGTGCTTTCCTCCGTGGTGAAACGATCCGCACTGCACCACGGAGGAAAGCGGCAGAAAGTCGCCTGGAGTTAAAGAGAGCGGGGCTGCGTTGCGTGCATGGCTTCCTTCTGCAGGTAACGGGGAGACGCACTCTGGCGGCGGTCTCGTTCAGGATCCGAAAATACCATTTTAATATTTTGCACACTTATTCCTATAGTGTGCCACTGGTTACGGTGCCGCGTGCCACCATTGGTTGCCGACCCCTGATCCAGTGTTTCTCAAACTTTTTCATACCAAGGACCACTTAACCAATAAAAACACACTCGCGGACCACCTAACTCCACAAATATCCAAAAACACATCGTTTTTTACAAATCGCCTGAAAATTGTACAAACAAGTGGCAACATGTGTGATGAAGGTGCTTATCTGGGCTATATCATGCAATTGAAAGTGAAACTTAAGCTCGTTCCATTGCGGAGATATTCCCGCGAGAGTGCGAAAAACTTAAATAGCCTAAATGTATTTATTTCAAATGTGAAATTTTACCAATATACTCACGGACCACTAGGGGGCGCTCACGCACCAATAGTGGTCCGCGGACCACACTTTGAGAAGCTTATTAAGCTTATACCCACAAATTGACATTCAGCCGAAACGTACACTTCCTGTTTACGTGCCAAGCCAAACATGTCTTTCAAGCTAAAAGAAAATAAACAAATACGTTTATTCAGGGTAATTTAAATCTGGGAGATGAAACCACTCAACAGAGGATAAATCTCAGAGGAGTGACTGGAATTGATCCAGAGAGCCATAAATCAGTGAACCCTCAGCAATATATCACGGTCATTTTCTGCAAAGATGTAGTCAAATAAAACTAACTGCACATTTAAAAGGGCTCTAAGAAAGGCTGAGGCAGATTAAATAAAATATAGTGGTATTTTTTTAAGTGTAGTGCAAGAAAAAAAGGTTTAAAAGATAGATAAAGCCATTGATATCCACTATTTATTTTTAGTTGTATCTGAAAAAAACATGCTCAGCTAGTAACTTGCATGCTTTCTTCCCTATAACTTCAATTTAAACTATTGCACATCCCAGCCATTTACTGTAGCATCTGTAAGCTGTTATGTAAGGAGAGGTGGAACTATAAATCCACTCAGTAACTTGAAGCATTTTTCTTTTAGCTCTTAACAAGCAGTCAGGGTTCTGCAGCTGATGGAGAGATGTTTTGGCATGTAATCAGTACATCTCAGGCCATCCATCTCAGCATCAGCTGAATTACCTGAGCAGACACGGTCTAGGTCCTCTGAGTATTAGCCCCGGGTCTTGTTAGTGGTGCAGACAGGGTCCGTAGTAAATGCAGCGTTGGGTATTGACGGGGCCTGTCATTACCTTTCTCTGGGAATCAGCTGAAGTGCTCGGTCTCCCTCAGAGGCCCTCCATCACCTCCAACGGGCCAATTTATGGGCCAGAGTAAGAGCCCTGAGGGGGGAAGACAGAGAGAGGATAAGAGGTAGAGACAGAGAAAGGATAGACAGCCAGATAGACAGAAAGTAGAGAGTTGTCTGCAACTACAGAATAGTTTGCTGACAGCAGAGTAAATATTTATATGTCTCAACAGTTTGAAATCAAAGAGGCGTTTAAGTCTCAAGTGTAGAAACAAGGTTGAAAGATTGATGTGCTTCATGTGTGAGGAATAGACTGATCACTTTATTCTGCATCTAGAGTGAGCATCTTGAATTGGAATACAATTCCTAATTGATACAAAATAATAAAAACATATTTGAGCTACTTAAATTCTGACAAGCTGTCGGCATTAAAACCAATGAAAATATCTACAAAACAACATTAAAATGTTTCCCATGATGCAGTAGATCTAAAGACAATGTGAATTATTGAGGCGTCTGGGAGGCTGTGGCTCAGTGGATAGTATGCTGGACTTTGAATCAGGGGATAGAAAGTTCGAGTCCCACTGCAGTCAGCATGTGGTTGTGTCCCTGGGCAAGACACTTCACCCCAAATTGCTCCTGTGGGGATTGTCCACAGTACTGAATGTATGTAAGTCGCTTTGGATAAAAGCGTCTAACTTTGTTACATGTCAACAAATGACATGTAAAGTAATGTCTTTAAGTGTTTATGTTCCTTTCCCAAACCACAAAAGGTTGGACTGGTTGGAATATGCTATTTTTAACCAACCCGTAATGTCAACAAATTGATTTCAAGAGAATGGATCACACACATAAAAACATTAACTGCAGTAGGGCTGGGTTATAAGGCAAGGCAAGGCAAGGCAAGGCAAGGCAAGGCAAGGCAAGGCAAGGCAAGGCAAGGCAAGGCAAGGCAAGGCAAGGCAAGGCAAGGCAAGGCAAGGCAAGGCAAGGCAAGGCAAGGCAAGGCAAGGCAAGGCAAGGCAAGGCAAGGCAAGGCAAGGCAAGGCAAGGCAAGGCAAGGCAAGGCAAGGCAAGGCAAGGCAAGGCAAGGCAAGGCAAGGCAAGGCAAGGCAAGGCAAGGCAAGGCAAGGCAAGGCAAGGCAAGGCAAGGCAAGGCAAGGCAAGTTTATTTATATAGCACCTTTCAACACAAGGCAATTCAAAGTGCTTTACAAAAAACGAAAGACATTAAGAAAATGGCATTTAAAATCAGTCATTAAAAAGAAAAGATAATAAAATAAACATTAAAAGAAAAAATACATGGATAAAAGTTACAGTTCAGTTTAAGATGTAAATAGTTCAATTAAAAGCAGCGGCAAAAAGAAAAGTCTTTAGTCTGGATTTAAAAGTATAAAAAGATCTGTTTTTCAAAACCGACCATCGGTGATATATACAGCTCTGGAAGAAATGAAGGCACCACTACAGCATTATCAGTTGCTATGGTTTTACCAGGTATTTGTTTCAATACAATGTTTTTTTAATTTTATTCTATAAACTACTGGCAACATTTCTCTGTTTTGGAATTCAACATACGCTGGACTGGAATGGCTGCTATATATGTAGAGATTGATTTAAGACAAATGTTTGAGAAAATATATTTGAGAAACTATCATAAGTACTGAAAAGGACATTTTGTGATCTTCATTTTATCTATTTAATAATCTACAAAATCTGTTCAAATAGAACAGAAATTAGAGAGACAAATAATTCTAAATATTGTGAGCTGTAAAAAACAATATTTTACAAAGACAAAAAATGTGACATGCAATCAGAATCCTAAATAACCTTAGCACTCTTCTTTTGTTTCGACTACAACTTAAATTCAAGGACTTCTTGATTTGCAGTAATAAACACAAACTCTGATTAGTTTCTTCCTCTCTGCGCCCTTAAGGTCTGATCACGCACCTGACTGCTTTCTTTTCTTTCTGAGAATTTGGCATTTCCTTTCTTGGTACTTCTTCTCTGAATCACGGCCAGTTTGCCGACTTCTGGAGGAAGCAGGAAATAGAGCTTAAATGCTCACACAAGCCTTCAAATACAAAATGCATCAGCGGGGAACAAGAGACTCTGTACAAACACATCAAATTCATCATCATATACTTTAGCTTGGGTGTCAGTATAAAACAGATTTGTGTTGTTTTACTCTGGTTGATGTTCTCACCAGACACAGCAGGCGGAGCCATCTTCTTCACATTTATAGTATATCAGAAGTTGACGAGCCTCTTGACATTGCCTGCAGAGAGCCTGATGTAGCCTCCTTTTGATTTAAGTTGAGCGTACTGTATATGAGGGAAGCATGGTGTGGATCGGTTTGTGAATGGATTCAATATGAGCCTGGCTGCCGACGTTAAGGAAGGCACCTAGTGGAACAGCAGTATTTGCGAACAATGCCCAGGTGTCAATATAAGAAACAGCAAGGGAATTCCTCACATTTTGGGAATATAAGACACAAAAATAATGAGGAGAGATGGTGACAGTCCTATAAACATTTCATCCTGTGTATTAAATTCAAGCATTACAATCCCATGGACATATAAGCACTCTTTTCCACCGTTAACACAGAGAGCTCATTAAGGCCAAACATCCTGCCAAATTGTATCTGGGTGCTTGGCACAGTTTTTTTTCCACCACTAAAGCTCAAATCCACAGATTCCCATAAGCCCCCAGCCATCTCCGTGCTGTTCACACTCTGCAGCTCTCTGATCCCCTGAACTGACCACATAAAGACCTTTTCTATATCCATGCAATCATTCTAATGTTTCTTATACTGTACATGCACATGCATCTTTAACATGTACCTTCCCGTAGAAAGGCACCAGCATCATTATTTCTGCTGAGTTGATTGAATAGCTGTTTCCCCTTCCTTTCTGGTACAAATGTACCTTCTTTATGACTGAAGCAGTTCTTGCTAGAATGGCTAACTGAGAAGCAGACAAAGAAAAGGGCAGTAAGATCGTTCGATGCTGGACGATTAAAGGATACAAAATAAAAAAAGACGATGGCAGTGCTCTACCTTAAATAATCTCACCAGCCAACCAGCGACTTGAGCCACTTGCTCTAATGGCTTGGCTCCTTCAAACCCGCTTGGCACAATAGTTCCTTTTAAGACGGTTGTGTCCAATTATCTCATTGTTGGGCAGCTGTTGAACAATGTGTGGGATCTGCCTTCATCTTAACAGTGTGACAGCTGCGCATGGTACAAAAGCTTGGTCAATATTCACCGTCACCAAAAAAAAACCTGTGCACCGCTGTAATGCTGGCAGCTGATGCTCCTGTCATGTACACTTTGTTAGATGATTAATTCCTTCTCTTCCTTCCTCCATTTTTGTTGTTGTCTTTGCTGTCCCTAGATGAGATCCACTCGGAAAGTCTCAGTGTGGCCTGTGGCCTTTGTGGGCGGCTTGCGGTACGAGTCCCCCAAGGTCAATGCAGCTGGAAAGGTCTATGGCTGGAAGACGGTGTTCGACCCCCATCGGCCATTTGCCATCGACATGGCCGGCTTTGCCATCAACATGAGGCTCATCCTCTTCAAGCCGCAGGCGTATTTTAAGCTTCGCGGGGTGAAGGGTGGCTACCAGGAGAGTAGTTTGCTCCGAGAGCTTGTCACACTTAACGACCTGGAACCTAAAGCAGCAAATTGCACTAAGGTAATCCCCTTTTTTCAATGTTTAGCACCTTGACTTAAGCACGAAGCGGTAAATGTATGTTTCTAAATTGTTTGTAAGGATGATAAGACTGGTTTAAATGTAATAAAGCTGCTGTAGACGGTGGCGGTAAAGTATTCAGAGCCTCTACCAATACATCAATGCTGCATTCAAATTCCGACTAAAATACACATTTACAAAGGTCGAACAATTGTGAATTATTGGAGAATTTGACATCAAAGTGTTATTTGGAAACATAACAAGCAGCGGCAACAACACACTGCTTTTTGTAAGAGGTCACAAACCAATCATGTTGGTTCAATCTTTAATAGACATACCATATCTGTGTTGAATGTAAAATCTTAATACACTTCTGTGATACAGCTGAAACATGGGAATACTTACTTCCCACCACTGGCTGTATCACACTAATGATCCAACTTTTAAAACCTCTTGCTACATCTGTATGCTGAACCATCTTGGTCAAATATTTTTCCCAGTAATTCATATTCAGAGTGAACAAAGTGTAAATAAACCACAATCTATTTTCAGAGGCTTCCCTTTGAATGTCACCCTTAGCAACAGAGAGAATGATTAGGTTCTCAGAAGTTGTGTGAGAGCAAACTCTGTGCTACCAACACCATGGCAAGCACACTGCCTTGATGATGTAGGGCAGTCATACGAATCATCAAAACCACTACTTACAACAATTATATACAATATGGCTTCATTACAGGGCATTAAACCTTGTCTTATTACTTATTTTCAAAAACACTTGTTCACCTTCCTGCCATGCTGACTTCCAGTCTTTATGTTTTGCAAAGAGGAGTTTACAGACTGCTGATTATTTAACACATTAATCAGCGTATTTAACAACACGTATTTAACACAGATATTAAATATTCTTATTCAACTCGCTGCATAAGGGAAATAAACTATGGCAACAAGTCAACAACTTGGCATGTTGCCACCTGTCAAGTTATTTCTTTAAAAGACAACCAGATGACATTGAACTTGCTTCCTAATTGGTGTATCTGTAGTCGCTTTTTATTGATCAGTAATCAGGAAGACAAAATATGTCATATGTTATATATATATGGGAATAAATCAATACATTTTTTGACAGAAAATCTATGACAATTCCATGCACCCTTGAACACACACACACACACACACACACACACACACACACACACACACACACACACACAGAAAGGCTTGAAGGTAGCAGCAGCAACACTTTCCTCCAGCCCCACTCCACCATTCCTGCATCCAGCCTTTGGTCTGGGTCGCATCACTAAGCCTCTCTCTGGGCAAAGAGTAGTCAACCAGAGGGCTTTTGCTAGCCAGGATTCACACCACAATCACACACACACACACACACACACACACACACACACACACACACACACACACACACACACACACACACACACACACACACACACACACACACACACACACACACACACACAGAGACAAAGAGAGAAAGGGGGGAAAGGAAGAGAGAGAGGGATACTTTCAGCCAGCTTTTTCTCCTGCTCTCCCGCAGCCATTCAGAGGGGGAAATGAAAAGAGGGGATTCAGGGAACGGCTGAGAGAGCGGAATTGGAGTTGGGAGGAAAGGGGAGGTAGGGACGTCACACTGATTACAGATGAGTGCAGGGACAGACAGACTGGAGAGAGGGAGGAAGAGAGGAAGAAATAAATGGAAAGTCGTGCACGGGCATCTCTCTTTCCTATAATCTTCCACTTCAAATGCAAGTCTGACTATTAACCTCCCCCTACACCTGAGCAAAGTGGGAGTGGGCTCTTGGCACATTTCAAACACGCCCTATGCATAATTCATAGCGGCCGCCATGGAGAGATGGAAGGGAGGAGGGATCCAACACAGAGAGCCGGGAAAATGAGCTTGACAGTTTTTTTCCCTCCCCTGTTCCACTTGCCATGCTTTTCCTGGGTGTTTGTCCGGTCTCGGGGCCAGATGGACTCGGTCTCCAGCACAATCGCATGCCCAGAAGAACTGTAGCACAACTGCAAAGGCAAAAGCTCATACACACTGTGTCGAAACGTCTTCACTTGGCTGTCATATGAAGGTAGCCATTATCCTATGGGCAGTAGAGGACTTTACACACACTAACCCAAGAGGGTTGTGTCGTAACACACGGCGTGTAGTTCCTCTTCACTCCCTCCTAATGCAAGGTTCACGCTCAAGTAGCTTTTTACACAAAGACAGACCCTGTGGTGGTGTATGTTCTGCTAGAGCTATAACCGGGGTTTGAAAAACACGAGGCAGAGTGGCTGCTGAAAGGAAGAGCGGCCTGAATGGGTGCATTAAGGAAACAGCATGTCACTAATGTTGCCGTTGTTTATGTTTGGTTTTCTCGACAGATACTCGTATGGCACACAAGAACGGAGAAACCTGTCCTTGTAAACGAGGGGAAAAAGGGATTCACAGACCCCAATGTGGAAATATGACTCCCTCAGATGCAGGTAAATAATAATGCTTAATACACTACATTTTGAACTTTCTATAAAGTGAGACAGAAATGAGTCCTAAAACCCGGAAATGATTTAGCATTTAACCATTTCTGGTTCCCTCGTCTCCAAGTCAACCGTTTCTTGAATGGTTAGATGCCACAAAATAAGGTCTGTGGTTAATACAAGCTTTGTATAAGATTTTCAAGTTTTATTCTACAACATAAAATGCATCAGTAATACCCCACTGGTGGATGCCGAAGCTTCTATGTGTTTTTCCAAACAGCAGTTCCTAACAAGTGACTAAATGAGACGGTTAATGTTAATGCACGTGAAGCGATGACGCAGAGTCATGTGACCGCCATGTTGTTTGTTAGCCTAACGTTAGCTTTTTACTTCTGGAGATTGCATGTATTCTTCAGAAATCCTAAAAGTGGTTTTAATACGGGGAGACTATGCTGCTGAACAAAACCTGTAAGTATCAGACACATGTATTTGCCACAGATATTATTATTACAATATTTTAAAATCAAATAGAAATATGTGATTGCTTTTTGTTGAGGGAGTCCTTCTGAACTTCTGGGTCTTTCACTGCACCACTCTATTGCAGACCTGAACCACCTTTAGGAACCATTTTCTTAAGAAGGTGAAATGGGAATGTGAAAACAATTTTTTACCTGGTCTCACTCAGTAATATTTAAAAAAGAGCAGGTGTTTTTCATTCTTACTATTGTACATTTGCTTTCTGTAGGGGCCCAATTACAGCAGATGTTGTCCATTAATGACTGTCTCCTAAATAAACAGATTCAATTAACTTAATTAAGGCTTAGCGCTCTTTCTCAGCTTATCTTAATCCTTTCTATTGCAGGAGGTCGGCCTTGGACCGGCAGAGGAAGAAAACGTCTGAGTCTCTTGATAAGTGCAACCAGCGCTCATGTCTTAATCATCAGAAAAAAGGACATTCTGGCCTTGAAGAGGAGTTTAATCCTCTTGACTGGATCTGACATTTTTGAAACATGGACTAAAACAGTACAGAGGTACAATACTAAAGCACAGATTATTAAGTGGCTGCAGTTATTTTCCAGGTCTACTGAAGTGCAGAGAAGACGACATAAAGGACGTCACACGGCGTTGATAGACGTGACCTGCACCTTCATGGTACAGCGGCCCGCTGAAGACAAGCTAACAAAAGAGACAGCACAACACGACAAGCATACGGCCAGCGGAGTCATCCAAACAAGCAGGTTAAACCTAAACATAAACTAAGGAAAAAATATACACATTGTCTGGATCTGCACATGGTTCAAAAGTGATATTCCACACCATCCGCCTGGATTAAAACACGACTCCAAGGACAAATAAGTGACGTGTGGACTTTCCTTTGAGCAAACAAAGCAAGTGAAGGAATGTTCTTTTGATAACTATGAAATGTTTGCATTAATTTAATCAATACTACTGAGTCGTACAGTACCTGCATTTACTCTTGGGTTATCATTGTTCATTTCATGGTGTCATATATCTCATGCATTGAAGCCACCCCCATACACTTGAAGAGAGACTGCTGTTTTAAATGTATCCCCTTGTTGTGCTTGGGAGCTGAACCGTACATGTAAACATCAAAATCCTAACACTTCTTGGCACTTAAAAAATACACAGATGATGTTCTTTTGTGGCGACATGTGTACATAGTAAGTTAACATGATTACAATCAGAGAATTGATGGCGATTTTTGACAAAAGTATTGTAATTACTGTATTTATATGTAAAAAGAAAAAAGGTCAAAAAAAGTCTCTTCTCTTTCCCCCTCTGAATTCCTCAAGACGACACTCAACAAGGCACAGGTTCACTCTAGGTTCAACACATGGAAAGAGTAATAGCACATCACCAATTTCATTTGGTATAAGAAACTCCAGTTTGTGACACATTCATTATTTCAAATCAGCTACACCGGAGACTCACGAATGCTGACCTAATTGCCATGTTAGCTTTCATATAAAGTGTAGTTTTTTACATTGCGTGGGGGGGAAAGTGTGTCACTTCAGAGAGCTAATATGTCCCTGTGTCTATGCACGGCACGCTCATATGTCCACGAGCCACTGGTTAACAAAGGTCCCTGTGTGCAAGTGTATCAAAGAGAAGGATGAAAAAGCATCAAAGCCAGCAAATTTGGTTATTAGTAGGCTTGTCAGTCCCTCTTTTAAAAAAAAAAACGGCTGTGTGGAGACAGAATTCCCAAACATATACATGTAGGCATCTGCTAAATAAAGCAGCTAATTTTTTAACATAAATTATAATGCATGTCCCAAAATGTGTTGTTTTAAAAAGAAAACTTTGGCATCCACTTGTAAAATGACAGATAATCTAAATTGACAGCAGGCTAAAGAAAAGCACAACACAAATAATTCTTATTTTTGCTAATGATTTGGTAGCAATGTTGACATGCCATCTTCAGTATTGTGGATCGATGTGTAATGGATTATTTAAATTACAGTATCCATCTGTTGTGCATTAACTGGATCATATGGGAGCTCCTCTAGCGCTAAACGGCAGCAGCGATGACGCTGTACAGCTGAGCACTGTAACAAAGTTATTCTACACCTCGTATAATAGAATCTCTCTTCTACTTGATAAATCATCTGTCCAGTGCAATACACAGTGGTTCTTATCTTACATTGCCCGGCAGAAGTAGCTGGAGATAATTCAAACACTGAGCCTCTGTATGGTTGCCAGATAATCTCTGTGCACTCTCCCCTTCAGCATACACAACCCAAAATACACAGAATGGAAACTTACAAAGACGTTACGGCCTCTCGGGCTCATCAGCCGGGGAAACCATACTATTACATTTCACTTGGAGTAAGATAAGATACACACATTCAGACAATGGCTGTATTGTATCTCTCATCAGACTGGCTGTTTTCATACACTGCATGATATTAAACTGCACAGGGGTCAGCCATGCGGATCACAGACTATCTCTGAGTTTTTCTCTTCAACGTGCCTCCTATTATTTATTAAAAACTCAAATGTTATATATTTATTTATGTATTTATTTCAAATGTGGAATCAGTGTTTGCCCTAAAATCTGCATTTTCCAACTGCTCTCGTGAAAAAGCATGCGCACTTAAGGTATAGTGTACACGTGGATTATCATACAGATCATAAAGGGTTACCACCAACACCATCTTCTTTAGAGCATTGCTGCTGATATAAGTTCTACTTGAGAGGTCATTATCAGCTTTTTACTCTGAATGAATGAATTTGTCTGAAATGTATCTAGCGATGAAACCGTTTTAGAGTCCAAAATATAAAAAAACATCACCATGTTGAGGATTTCATTTGAGCTCTTCAGGTATAAAATGAAATTCAATATGTTGTTTTTCATTTACCGTTTGAAGTAAACTAATAGCATTGCTGCATATCCAAGTTCTACTTGAGAGGTTGATTTGGCTTGAAATGGAAATGAATGAATCGATCTAAAAAAATTATCGGTGCTGAAGTGTAAAATGCTTAATTTGAGTGCTAAAGGTTTCAAATGAAATTCACTATGTTGTCAGTCTTTTACTTAACAACATTCTCTGCTCTCATCTTCCAAAATGCCGACAAACGTCATATGGCGTTCAGTTAGAACAAATATTTTGTCCTCTGTGGTGTTTTCTGAAGCGATTCAAAAGGGCTTGAACTCAAAAGTGATGTTATAACTTTAACCGACATCTGATATGATTTTCTTTCAACAGGTGACTTATCAAGCAATATCGTAAAACTCACAAAGAATTAGTCTACTAGAACCAACCTACCTATACATGGACTTTAGCGGTGCAGGTTATTCAATATTTAATGTCAGTTGATGAGAATTACCCTCCAAGGGGCTTCTTTAAGGCACAATACACTTTACACACAAGTCCTCTCTTTTCCTCATCTCCACTGTCATCCCCCTGACTCATGTGATTCACATTTTATGCATGTGACTCTTAAGGTTGTTTATTTGCCACAGCAATTCTGTCTCAGAGAAAGGTGTTAGATGAATCAAGAGAAATAAATAACTGAGAAGAACCCCACCTGTGCGAGTGTTGTGTCTTAACACTGAATGTTTTTACACTGTGTGTTGTATGTGCGTTTTAAACATCTAAACCACATTCATCTTTTCTTGAATGTTTCCTTAAAGTGGACCTATCATGCTATTTCTAGGCAATAGCATAGGTCTCAGATATATACAAATATATAAAAAACATGTCTATGAAGTGTTTTGCTCAAAATACCAAACAGATCACCCATTCTAGCCATGCCTCATATTCCTCTATTTCACTTCCTGTTTCAAAAGTGCTGGTTTGGGGTATAAAGCTTTAAAAAAAAGAAAATTGATAAAAGAAAAAGGAGGGGGCTCATGCGGGAGATGCTACCGGCAGATTCTGCGGTGATGAAACGCCATATCATGGATTATCAAGGGTTATTTCGGAAACAGTATGGAGCTCAAAGGCTTTCTCTCTTGCCGGTTATACCACAAGGTGAGTTCCTTTTTATTTCCTGCTTCTTCACACACATGCTCTCCAGTACAGGTTAGCTCTGAGTGTTAGCGATGCTAATGTAAACACTGACCATATTACGACCAAAACAGTCGGGCATTGTTTCTGATAGCAACGTTTCTGATAGGGCCGTGGTAAAGCCAGCCTACATTTCCGATATTACGTCATATCGGACACAAATCTGGATCAGTTCCGTTTTTAGAGATTTGGGTACGGAGGAAAATAGAGAGGGTTTTATTTTCTGACGCTGCGTGAGTTCCCTGACGCACCGGAGACACATATTTATGTATAAAATACATCAAAAAGTGCATTTTGCATGATAGGTCCCCTTTAAGTTTGTGTAAAATCCTTCCGTCCTAAATTAGGCTGCACAATTAACACACAGTAATTATTTTAGCTAAGATTGTAATATTTAAATCAACAACAAAAAAATGATGTTCTAAAGCATGCACTAATCCATTGTCAATGTCCGCATTAATTGTTTAATACATTTGCATACATAGAGAAATATACATGTATCATTTAAAAGTATTTTTTACATTATTAGAGAAAAACGAATTATGCTCACCTTACCTTATTTGTGTAAAGTTTAGCAATGTAATATCAGTGGATGGGAAATATGGCATTAAGTTGTTGGGGAAATGTTTAAGTAAAAGCCTACACATGTTGGTTAGCATATTTACTTTAAAATCTCAAGAACAAACTGTCTCAGCGCCCTTAAAAGTTAACAAGAGTTGGCACAAATGCAACTCATGCACCTCACATTTTTCTAGGCGATAAAAGACTGAAATGTTGAAGCACAGTGTCACTGTGGCATCAATCTTTAAAGGGAAGAATTGTGATGGTAGGTCTGTTGGCAAAGCACGCACATAGAGATGACTTTTGAAAAAACACTTCAAACACATGCTTGTGATCTTGACTTCTCTGCAGGAGCATATCATAAGAGAGGACAGAAGCAACTCGTTTTATATCAAACAGGTGGTCGGTGTGCAGTTCAAATGAAAGAGTTCAAAAGCATCCTTGGCTTCTGATACAGAGGTCGAACTGCATTTATTCACCATTATTACACAGCCTGGAATTTATCAATTAAGTGTGTTGGAGGAGGAGATTTTCACTTCATTATTATCAACGACAGTCTCTTGGTCTCCAAAAATAAAGTATTTGAATGAACGTTAATGACATTGGAGAAATAATAATACCGTGATAGAAATAATTATACATCCCTTGGCATAAATACAGTCATTAAATGAAAACTGTTGGGTGTTTCTCAACAAATCAGGTTATTTTTTTACAATATCAACAGATTAAAAAGCGCAAGGCTTCATTGACAATAAGTTTTGGCAAGTATTATAAGTGATTAACTTACAAAACAAACAATGAATATGCTCTTCTCAAAGCCATAAGTATCTTTTGACAGAAACCATAATTTTACCTGATCATCACACACACATTTTAAACTTGACTGAAACAAAATAAAATTCAAGTTGTTGCAATTACCACCACGTCCGGTTCTGTCTAAATAAGCCCTTCATTCTCCAAGTGAAATGTAATAAGAAACTGCCATTATGCTCTCTACAAAGCCACCAGACTCCAATTACAGAAACAGTCCTTTTACCTTGCTGATCGTTATATAGCATACTTCCTTCGAACACGACAAAAACAAAGTAGAACTAATCAAAACCACCCTTGATTTTTTTTTACTTCCACTATTACCAACTCCTCTGTTATATTTAAATTAACTTCTTAACTCACCAAGTGTGCAGGTCTAATATGAGTTAAGATTAAGCAACTGGAATACCCATTTCTCGCATTAAATAAAAACCGGTGATTTATCCTCTTTTACCCAAAAACAGGGGACAGGAAATGCATTGTGTGTAGGCTTGTGGGTCTTTTAGGAGCGTGGAGGATATGCACATGTATCTTTTTAGAATCATGTGAAGAAAATACTCAGTCCATGGTTCAATATGAAGGATCCTCTAATTTGGAAAAAGCACTCCCCAAGTCTGGATCACTGCATTGTTGAATTCTTCCGATGGGAAACCAAAAGTCATCCTCGCTGCTCCGTGTCACTTTTCAGATCTGCTGGTCGTGACACGCCATCAGAGCCTGAGCAGACGAAGCTCGCTGTAATCGCCTGAGCCGTTGCCTCGGTTTCCCAGCTACACTCCCAGCATCCTCCTCTCCTCATCCGCACTGCCCTCTCACCTTCTGTCCTCACTGGACATCAACTGACATGCCATAGTCCGGGCTGCTGGAGAACTGAATCCTGCCATCTGTTTCCTGCTCTTCAAACACAGTGACCTTTAAGGAAGAAAGAAATATACAGGCTGAGTGAAGGTCATGAACAGACAGGGAGAGTGGGTGGATGAACACCAATCTCATTATATGCACGGAAAAGAAAAGTTGTGAAAGACAAGAAGGAGAAACACAATAGAATAGAGTTCAACAACATCAAAGCTATGGGTGATGAATATCTATAGCTTGATACTGTAATGGCGGATGCTTGAGTCGAGGTCAACCAAGATCTGTATGATACTTACAAAACATGTTCATCTGATAGGTTTGTGCATTTTTTGAGAATACCAAAACCTGTGTATATTCGCATTAATTGTGCACCATTTCAAATAGGTAGGACAGTCCCTTGTGCCACCTGTAGGTAATACATGCCTTACAATTTGGGGGAATTTGCTTATTTTTAAAAACAAAAGTACATACAGAACGAAACATTTATTTTGTATTGACCAGTCGTTTAACAAGCCACTTATTTGAAACATGCTTCATCATTTGAGTCTGTTATCAGACCGCATATGCAAAACCATTGCTAGATCAAGTTGCTCCATGTGATTTTATGATGTTTTCATTCATAACTGTAATTTTAATATTGTAATATTGGTCAAACTAAACAAGTGATCGGCATTTGCACTTCTTTTTTTAACAGTTTGTAGACAAAACAAGTGACATATTTATTGTGAAATGTTTGTTTATTATTTAACGTCTCCTTGAGGAATATGGCAACAGTCTTTCATGGTGATCCAAACATGTTATGTGCCGCTTTTGGCCAAAATTGAATGAGTTACACATCTCAGGTCAGGAGATTAAATGTGACTCTAGCAAAATAGACAACCCAAAATGACTGCTTTACTGTCCACTATACATCACTATAATCAATTTATTTCACATATCCTGTTAAATAACAAACATACTGAAGGCATTCTCTGTGATCCTCAGTGTTCCTGTTCAATGCTGTAAGTCGCTAACAATGTTGAGATCAGGTCATTAATGCTAAAACGTCCTAAAGTGATTTTGATAATAGTGTTTCCTGAACGATAAGCACATAAGACAAAAGGTACAGTACCTGGTTGTTCCCCCTGTGGAGCCAGGGCCCCGGGACATAGAGAGTCTGCTGAGGACCGACGGACCAGTAGCGTCCCAGATTCCTGCCGTTAATAAACACTACACCTTTGCCCCAGCCCTGTGAACACAACCAGTGACCGTCACCATGACAACAGGCAGGTTCGGCCAATGAAATGCTGATGGGGGGGAGGGGGGGAAGAAACATGTAGAGGAGAACCAGAAACCAATGTCACACCTTACTTTCTAGATCATTTGCTCAATATATCCTGAGTTCTTGTTCATTGTATTTATTTGCTTCGCTTCTCCAGCCTTTTCACTTTAATTTACAGCAGTGGAAAAACTGTGGGAAAGTTTCCATCTAAAAATAACCAAAGGGATACGCAGTTTAACAGAGGGATAAAGAGGCACTCATTCAATCAATAACTGCATTATGTAGAGCTGCAAGAAAATTAGACCATTAAAAATAACCTAATTTTCCCTAAAGAGCCTTTTAAGATCTTTCTTCACTAATGAAATGATATCATTGTGTCATATGCAATGAATTATAAGTGATCAATGTCATGATAAAGCTTCTGATTGCATTACTCTCTAGGGACAAACAATTAGTATGTCTAATTATAAAGATGCCTGTAAATTAAAATTACCAAACCACTAGCTGACCGTGTTAAGGATAAGATATATTATACGACGACATTCACACTACTTCTGAATATTTGGTGTCAACATTTCTATCAGTACTACAAAGGACAGATTCCCATATATAAGGGATGTAAATAGACTTTTCAAAGAACTTAATAGCAGAAAATCGGCTGGCCCTGACAATGTCTCCCCCTCCATCCTGAAGCTCTGATCAGCTGTCTCCGGTGTTTACAGACATCTTCAACACCTCACTGGAGACATGCCACGTTCCAGCATGCTTCAAAACCTCCACCATCATCCCGGTTCTCAAGAAAACAAGGATCACAGGATTAAATGACTACAGACCCGTCGCCCTGACCTCTGTGGTTATGAAGTCCTTTGAGCGCCTTGTCCTGTCCCACCTAAAATCCATCACAGACCCCCTCCTAGACCCCCTGCAGTTCGCCTACAGAGCCAACAGGTCTGTGGACGACGCTGTCAACATGGCCCTTCACTTCCTCCTCCAGCACCTGGACACAGCAGGAACCTATGCCAGGATCCTGTTTGTGGACTTCAGCTCTGCCTTCAACACCATCATCCCGGCTCTACTGCAGGACAAGCTCTCCCAGCTGCACGTGCCGACTCCACCTGCAGGTGGATCACAGACTTCCTGTCTGACAGGAAGCAGCTCTGGAAACACGTCTCTGACCCCTGGACCATCAGCACCGGTTCCCCTTAAAGAGCCTGTGACAGCCTCCCAACAACTGTTGTGCAATGAAATATTGGGCTACTAGTAATCTCGAACCGTCAGTTTAAAAAAGAAGGTGCGATACCGTTCCGATAAATATCAATAATTTCGAACATCGCGGGGAATTTCCTTCGACTCATTTTGAAGTTTTGGGAGAAGCCGGAAGTGACGTCCATGCGGGAACGCTTCACTGTGCGGCGAGTAGGGTTGGGAACCGAAACTCGGTTCCAGATGAGAACCGATAAGAAAATGCCGGGTACCGGGTACCCATACAAAATACACAATTTCGGTTCTGCTTAACGGTTCCTAAACGCGGTAGACCCTGTATTCCAGCGGGTCCGTCTGCACCGCGGTGCTGCGGTGACCCGGTACCGCCCTTCATTTTTTTAAACGGCATCATATAAATTGCGCTGACAGGCGACAGAGGTCCACAGTTGCCCTGCAGCGATGCTCCCCCGCCCTCCCGTAGACATTTCACGAGCTCAGTCACTTCATAACACCAAAGATAGGTCGCGGTAAACACTCTGAAGTGAGGCTCCACTACACTAAAAAAGAAAAAGAAAAGGCAAAGTGTAATGCCTGTTAATAGCTTGCCACAGGCATAGCTCAGTTACAATAAAGCACAGCTATTGTGCAATACATTTGTATTGCATGTATATTTTTTAGTAACAATTTCAGTTAAAGCTTTTAAGAATAAATATATTTTTGTTATCTAAACGTTTGACCTCTTTATTTTACAATTTTGGAATCGAAACGGGGAATCGATAAGAACCGGAATCGATAAGCAGAACCGGAATCGAAATCGGAATCGATAAATTTCAAACGATACCCATCCCTAGCGGCGAGTGAGCCAAACACGGACAAAGTGTGTTGTCATGCGTAGAAATTGTGAATTACTGAGTTTAGGCACGTTAATAACGTTTTAATGAAGTTGACTACAGTATATTCATATTTGTCAGTGCTTTCATGTCAATTCGGCGAACATAAACATAAATGATCGTGGTGAAGATGATGATTACATTAGGATTAAAAATCGGTATGAGAGCTGCTGAATTTCCTCCCGTCGGATGTGATATAAAAACAAATCGATTATTTTTGTAGTTGTAAACTCAAGTGGATGAAACTACATTTATTAGTGCTTTCATGTCAATTCGGCGAACATATGATACATTAAATGATCGTGAGGATGATGATTCAAAAATCGTTTGTTTGAGCCGGTCTGCATTTCCTGATGAGAAAACAAACCGATGCTTTTTGTAGTTGTAGTACACCAACATGGATTAAACGTGTGTTTTTTCACCACAATGTTGGGGAAATTAATGGATAAAATGCACGGATTATTATTATTATTATTCCCACTCCGATCGGGACACTAGGTCCACCGTTTCCCCGCAGCGAGGCTCCCCCCGTTGACAGTTTACGTGGGCTGGGTGCAGTGGCGGACTGGCCATCGGGACGAATCCCGATATGCCGGTACCGAAGTGGGCCGGTCGGATAAGTCACTAGCACATCCCCCACTCCCCCCGTTGACAATTTACTAGCGGTACCGAAGTGGGCCGGTCGAGAGTCCCGGGATGATTTTTAGTCCCAGTCCACCACTGGCTACATGACCGTATGATCGCCCATATTGACGCACCTAATTCCTAAACTTCATAAACTTATCCTACAGCCTCATATGAGCTCTCAGACACGTTCAAAATTAAACTGTCTGAGCTGTCTGAGCTTGCTGCTGTGTGCACCATCGTGCGTTTGCATGCAGATGCTGTGATCCTGAACGGTGCAGCTGGAGCGCTGTGCCCGCAATGACGTCACACATAATTTGGCGGGACTTGAAGAATCCCGAGAAGATCCAGAATATGGTCAACATTGAAGGGCAAATTAATGGTTATCAAAGTACAAATATCCAAAATCAGTTCAGTAACGGTTTTCAAGGGGACAATATTTACTCAAATTGATGGGTTTGGATGATGGGGGAAACTCGTGTCACAGGCTCTTTAAGGCTGCGTTCTTTCCCCTCTGCTCTTCTCCCTGTACACCAACAGCTGCACCTCCAGTCACCAGTCTGCCAAGCTCCTGAAGTTCGCACTACGACACCACCCTCATCGCACTCATCTCTGGTGGGGACGAGTCTGCCTACAGGTGGGAGATGGACCTTCTTGTGACCTGGTGTGGGGAAAACCACCTGGAGCTCAACGCTCTCAAGGCAGTGGAGATGGTTGTGGACTTCAGGAAGAACGCAGCCCCACCCGCCCCCATCACTCTGTGTGACTCCCCAGTAACTGCTGTGGAGTCTTTCCGCTTCCTGGGCACCATCATCGCCCAGGACCTCAAACGGGAGCAGAACATCTGCTCCCTCGTCAAAAAAGCCCAGCAGGGGATGTTCTTCCTGAGGCAGCTGAAGAAATTGAACATGCCAAAGACAATGATGGTGAACTTCTACACCTCCATCATCGAGTCCATCCTCACCTCCTCCATCACCATCTGGTACGCCACAGCCACAGCCACGGATGAGAGCAGGCTGTAGCGTGTCATCCGCTCTGCAGAGAAGGTGATGGGCTGCAATCTGCCATCCCTCCACGACCTGCACGCCTCCAGGACCCTGAGGCGGGCAGGGAAGATAGTGGCTGACCCCTCCCACCCTGGACACAAACTGTTCACCCCCCTCCCCTCTGGCAGGAGGCTGCGCTCCATCAGGACCAAAACCTGTCGCCACCAGAACAGTTTCTTCCCCTCCGCTACCGGCCTCTTAAACAAGGCCCGGCCCCCCCACTGACGCTTTACCTCTGCCACAACGTAGACTCTATATGCATTACATTAATGCACACAATGTTCATACTGCTTAATGCACATATTTCTTCTTTCATATTTCATATTCTATAATTAATTCATAGCATTCTATTTCCATGTAAATTACTGCTTTATTTTATTGCTATTTAACTATATTGTATCACGGTGTCCTTAAAGGTGGGGTAAGTTTGAGAAACCGGCTCGAGATACACTTTTTGTTATATTCCATGGAATGCTCTTAACATCCCGATAGCAATGAATATATTAAATGGTTTGACAAAAAATCCATAAAAAAATGTCATCTGTGGAAGCCGTAGTACTGTAAAAAGTATGGCCTACCTGCCTGTCAGCCTTCCATCTGTGCACAAACTTATCTCGTGCCCTCATTGGTCATGTGCGCGTTTGTGTGTGTATTTTCAAATTCTAGCGCACTTGAGCTGGTTTCTCCAAAATGACCTACCCCACCTTTAAAGATGTTTTGTTTTATATTAGATTTCTAGTCTTATATGTTATGTCTGCACCATGACATCAAGTCAAATTCCTCGTATGTGTGAACCTACCCGGCAATAAACCTGCTTCTGATTCTGATATGTATTATATGTATCTTGTGAAACTTACGGGACAAAAACAGTCTAAATATCAGCGCAGCACTACTACAATTATTTAGCAAAATCTCAAGCAGTACAAACAAACCTAAATAAATGTGTACTATACTATAAGGCATTTTTAATATGTGAAATGTCAAGTATAAACAGATTGATTTATGTTCAATATACCGGAAGTAAAACTGACATTCATATCTTAATGTTCATTGTGAATTAGAGGTTGGGTATGATAACCCAAACTTCGGTCTATACATTGTAATTATATCCATACAGCCCAATGCTATTTCGTTTTAGGTTATATATATTTTGTGTTCAGCTTTTAAAGATATCCTGAGTAATCCTAATGTCAGTTTCTGTAGTTTTATCGTTGCTGATTTGAATATATGGTTGTCACATTGTACTCACAGGGAGTTTGATGAAGGTGTCTTTAGGAGAACTGTTCACGTAGAGTTTTGCCTGGAAAAACCCCGGGAAGGAGGGCCGCTGCTGACGCAAAGAAATCCAATGGCCAGTACCCTCAAGTCTGTAAAAGCAGAATACATTCATCACGTCATTCGTATTTATACACCTATGGTAAATGTCAAGTAAAACTTTGTAAATGGATGTCAGGGGAAATATTCAGAATCACAATCTGGGAGCTATAGGTTATATTTTGCCTCTGAGTAAATCCAAAAGGTCTCCATGATGGATGAAGAAATCCTTGCTCATTTAGGTTTTTCTTCAGTGTTCACTCATACAGGGCTTCAGGCATTGACATTTTCAGGGTGGAAGGATTGAAAGGTTCTCAGTGCATGAGGAGGAACCAAAACGGATTTGAAAATAAATCATATGATCATAGTCTACTAAGTATATACTGTATATAAACCTTGAAATAAACTAGGTAAACTCATCGAAGCCCATATTCTTTAAGGAGGTTAAAAGGAGGTTACATTGGTCATTTGGTTTGTTAGTTTATTCAACATAAGAATTCTGAATTTCCCAAAGATATTGTGATTAAGAAGGGCTTTGGCCGATGGTCGACTTCAATCTGGTGTTGATGACGCTAATGTTGCATGTGATTAGCAATAAAGGGAGGCACCATCTAATATGGAAACACCATGAGGGAAATGCATTTTGGGTGCAATGAGCCCTGCCAAAATGACCCTATAATGATTGGCTGTCGTGCAGAAACGACCTGACCTAATGACAATTATGGGATGGGTGCCACATTAAAGTTCCCCCACTCAGACCGTTTCACTTTCTGTCATTGCACAGCAGTCGTGTTATTGTGCTTGTTAAATGGTGCATGTTGCATTTATCAAGTGAAATCATTTTATATATTACATTACATTACATTGTATTTAGCTGACGCTTTTATCCAAAGCGACTTACAATAAGTACATTCGACCAGGAAGACACAACCTTGAAGAAAACAAAATCATATAAGTACATCAGGTTTCATAGAGCCAAACATTTCAAGTGCTACTCAACTGGCTTTAGATAAGCCAGTCCTTTATTAGTATAAAAGTGCTTCGTTAATAGTTCTAACGCTCGAAGTGGAGTCGAAAGAGATGAGTTTTCAGTTTGCGTCGGAAGATGTGCAAGCTATCTGCCGTCCTGATGTCAATGGGGAGCTCATTCCACCATCTTGGAGCCAGGACAGCAAACCCACGTGTATATATATATATACAGTATATATAGCACATCAAAGCAAAATGAGTTGAAGTACTTCTTAAGTCAAGGCAGAAGGTTAGGATTGGACTCAAAACAGGTATACTTTAATTAAATACATTATTCCAGTGAAAAGCAATATTACATAATGCAATACAATCAGACAATGAAAGGAACAGAGAGTGTGTGCACTGTCGAGGTTTCAATGAACAGTTGTATTAATATGCAGTCTTGGTGTTGACAAAATAATCTCGTCAGTTCTTAATATATTCCTGTTAAAAGTGTATCCAGTCCCATTATTATTTGTTGTTGCAGCATTTGTTTGAGTAATACTGTAATGAGTTTTGCTTCAATTAAGCTGTCAGACACATGCTGCTGATGGAAATTCAATTTGCAATGTTTGTGTACCTCATGCTTTCAAAGTGTTTTTATTTTTGTATCACCCTGGAGTTTTAGGATATATTGTTTGGTGTGTTTAATAAACCCCCTGTGTTTTTAATAAATTAAGATTTGATGTATTCTCAAGCACTGAAAACAGTCCAGATCCAGGGTATTCTACCTAGTGTACTTATTTTATAATTTACATGAGACTCTGGTTTGAACAGATGTGTTTTGATTTATTATCTTTGCCATCATGTTCCCACGGTAACTGTGTTAAACAGGGAGATAATTTGCTGATTTGACAGAAAGAAATGGGGAAATAATTGAAAGAAACAAACCTGTTTACAAAGCCAGGCTTCATATCCAGACTATGGATAACAAAGTCACGGAGGGGGTTCTTGTTCAACTCGATATCTCCAACAAGACCTGAAAGGAGAGTCAAAACAGGTGAATCCGTCTTTCTTCACTCTTAATTAGTTTGCTTTCAAGGTTACTGATAAAGAGATCATTTGGCCAGATAAGGGCCGTTTCATCAACTTTTACCTTTGCGCTGCTCATCCAGGGTTTTCCCATAATTCACTCTTCCACAGTTCTCCACGAGTAAACTTAGAGTTCTTTTTCCCTTATGTGGAAAACATAAAACAAATACTGAAATACAGAGGTATTCAAAAAATACAGGAAGCAAAAATGTCTTTCAGCTCTGGCTTTAGTTATTGATGAAGTCCAATGTGAGTCAGCACTCTTTCTGTTGAAGTTGACAAATCAAGTTAGTCAGGATAAACAGTCTGCTGCTTGCCTATCCCGACGACCTTGCTGTCAGAAAACATCTATCAGCAACCCCTGAAGCTTTCACATGCTGTTAAATATTAACAACTTTATGCTTTTAGGAAATACACACACACACATACACACACACACACACACACATAAAGTACCTTTCCGTAAGGGACTGCAAGTTCTTGCGTCTTATAATCCAGAACACCAACAAAATGTTTGTCCACATAAACCTAGGAAGAAACAAAAGAAATAGTTTTCATGTTTAAATACGCCATGTTAAACCTCCTGGTCAAGGTGTATGACCTGTACACATGCACACGCACACACACACACACACACACACGGATGTCCCGCCCCCTATTTTATATATGTATTTATCTTTTCAGATGTTTAATCTTTTTAGATAGCTTTTCTACTTTTTTATTGATTTTCTTTTTATTATTTTCTTTCATGTTTTCCTTCTATATATTGACTCTACAGCGAAATGGAAATTAAAATGTAGAAATCTGTTGACTAAAATGTGAATCTGTTTGGATAATAATTAATAAAGGTCCATCTTATCTTATAATGAAACTGACACTGAAATACGTTTTTTTAAAAAGAAAACATGTTAGACGACATTTGTCTGTCACAGACATTTCTGGACACCAATTTCTAAGAACTCCAGGCTCCTGTTTGACTTTAACACCAGAGCAACTGGTATCAGCCTGCGCTTGTTAATTGTTCTCAACAAGTACACAGATCAGAGGTGTGATTTCCAACAGATTACAGCCTTCTACATGCAAAAGTTCTCACAAAAGAGAAGTGTAATTGTGTGATTTGGGTGCATAACGTGGACGTCTGTCTTCCTTTCTTTACCAGGGCTCTGTCTCTGATGTTGTTCTTGGAGTTGAGGGTCCCTTCGCTGCTGATGGTGGTCTCGTACAGCGTGTAGCCGTAAGACTGGCCGTTGTTGTTGTTGACAGGGAGGTTCTCCATGCTCACCGGCCTCTCTGACTTAAAGGCCTACAAATAAAGACAATGTTTGATACCTTTAAACCAGATGTTGACACCAACAGGAACACAAACATATATTCTCTCCTCTTCCAGTCTCTTTCCCCCCCCCCCCCCTTTGTTTCTAAATCAACGCTAAAGACTTTTCTCTTTGTCGCTGCTTCCTTCTATGAAATACAGTATCTCTTCATATCTTATATTAATTTGTATCTTACATCTTTCTTATCGTATTCTACAACTTATTATTTTAAGCTTGTTTTACTCGCTTAGAGTTTTAATGATTGACAGATTGAGTATTTACATATAGTTCTGTGAGGTATTTCTGTTGCACTTTATCCTAAAGCTTGAAATGTTCTTTATAAAAAAACCTGCCTTCCTCTTTCTATAATTATCTTTTTTTTTTCATTACATTATTATGTATAAGTATTACTTAGGTTTGTTAAAAATCCTTTTTGTGCTGCAAACACTATTGGATCCACTGTGATAAATAATAATAAAAGCAATGAAAAAGATGTTGAAATGAGCCACATTCATAAAGATGTTTATTTGAAATGTTTCCATGAAGTTTGCTGTAATTAAAGTGAACACACACAATCTCATAAACCGCTCTCGACGAAGATGGGGTTTTATGATTCGCGCCACACAATTCTCCCACTTGCAAGATGGCTTTGCCCAAAGTGATGATTTATCAAACCCTAATGAAGCTTTCCTGTCTGATGTTCAAAGCCATTCTTTTATTCAGCAGCATTCTTTTGCATACCCTAGGGAGCTGCATTATGCAAGACAATAAACACTCGCCGCTATGAAACGATTAACCACGTACCTCCGAACACACAGACACACCATCAGGCTCAAGACATCCCACTCAGTCTCTCTGAAGCCTCTTAAGAGAAATCGCACTTTTTAAAACGAGGGTGTGTCAGGGGCAGAGAAACTGTCGTCTCATAGGGAAGCACATTGTGAATGAGTGAATAATTCATGTTGAATGCCAGACGTGGCACATCTGGTTTGAATATACGAATACACTTCAAACGCGGGCAATCCAAAAATCCACAAAAAAGAACTTCAAAAAACAAGTCCGCTTTCACGGCACGGTTTTTTACTTTTGTAGCAGCCAAAATCCTATAGAACTAGAACAGATAGTTAACTTAACAGCCGCTGAGGCACTAGTTAGCGGATCTTACGCAGGGCAATGATCCAGGTCCAGACAAGATTCTCCGTTGTGCATTTTATTCCTATAACAAAATACAATGAACAGGTTTCCTATATCTCTTTCCTATATCTCTTTCCTTAAGCCTTTCCTATGGCTTTCCCTTGTGTAGCTTGAAACACCCTGGTAAAAAAAAACGTTTGCCTACTAGTGCTCTCGCTCCCACCACCCACCTGTCTCCAATATATACAATTACACCAGGTGCTCTAATCACCCAGTGCCCAAAACATGCCTTCAAAATAAAAGCATAGCAACTACTTTAACTTATGACGCTAACTAAGAATACATTTACAATAAACACTATAAAACAGCAAGAAAATAAATGTTAAACTATTAAATAATATAAAGAGATATATAGCTCCAACAATGCCCTTGAACAGCATGATGTGAACTCGACTATTGGACATGAAAGCTAACAGACATGATGACACCCTCCGAGTTAGTTCTGATGGCAAAGGGAGATTATCTGCTGTGTTACATTTTGCAAAACAACTTGTTTTACAGTCATAAAGCTGCACACTGTCGGTTACTGCTGGTCCCTGAGCAAGCCCATATTTCAGCTGTGCTTTGCTCAGGGGCTCCTCATCAGCAGTCCTTCATTAATGTGTGTGTAGTAGTGTGTGCTGGTGTGGGATGATGGCTGCGAGCTAATTTCTCTCGCGGTAATAATTACCACAGCCACGTCTGCAAGTGACTTTTCAGAGCTTCAAATTCGATTTTTACATTTTATTATCAATATAGAAATATAATTATTCTGTAGGATGTATTAAAGGAACATATGCTGCTGTTAATCTTATGATTTCTTATCATTTGATAGAAAATATTACATCCTAAAAGATACAGGGGATGCGGTTAGGTTACTTCACATATAATAATGTCCAAATGTAATTAAAGATTAATATAAGAAACCCACTCAATTCATTAGAGAATTGTGAGTAATTACTGGAATCTGCAGAAAAAAACAATGCAAATGCTGCACCTAATAGGCTGATGTGATCACTGTGGAAACAGTAAAGTTAATACAGCTATCCTCTATAGATAATATAGAAAAAGGTAATTCACCAAACAGCCTGGAATACTTTTATTCAAAATGCAAAAGTCAATTGCATTCCATAACCTGTCATTATAATTAAAAGCATATTCTCTTTGAGTTTATTTGATTGGCTTTTGTGTGTGACTTATGCATTACATATTTCATGTATTACTGTTGTCTGTCAACAACCTCCTGACTCTGTTTCGAGCAATGCCACACGGGCGATGTTTATTATTTCGGTGCCTCCTGTGTTGGCACTCTCTGAGCGTCAGCAGCTTACCTTGTCAGTGAATTGCAGACTGACCCACAGAGACAGGTGCTGCTGGATGGAAACAGGCTGGTACACTCTCCTGTCCTGATGAGGAGGCAGCACGGTGAGAGGCTGGGCTGAACAACAAGGATGGGGAAAAGGCAGTCAGATTTTATGTAAATGAATTAATTTGCATTTCCTTTATCCTTTATTTACCCGTGGGATGAAAACAAGTCCAAATTAAGGGGTTTTTGAAATTGATGCATACATTGCCCACATTCAGTCAGATGAATAATTCTGTTTTCTCTCTTTAAACTGGCCATGGTAAAATAATTTGCATATGCATAAGATAAGATAAGCACCTGAGAGAAAGAAAGAAGGACACAGATGAAGGTCGTTTTGTATATTTAAATAATTGTAAGCCATATTAAGTCAAGATGGAAACTATAAGAAACCTTCTGGTATATCTGGTACTAAGAAATTGGATATTTTATTAACTTTGTAAAGTATAACCAGCAAAACAATTTGCTAGAAAAACCCAAGCAGCTATAAGACCTTTTTCTGGGCTATTGAAGCCCTGCAGACATTCCCAATCTGCATTTTTTTTACTACCAAACATAAAAGTGACCACACCCTTGAAAGCTGCTTCTAAGGCCCCAGCCACACGAGGACGATAACGGTCATATCCGCTACAGTTCTCTATCAGATAGAAGGTTCGGCCACACGAGGCCGACATGGAAACGCAGAAAACGATAACGAGTCCCAAGGTGGGTAGATCTGCGAACGAAACACTCTGGGGGGGCAAACGGCTCTGTGTTTACGCCTATACGATCATTTCTTGATAACGTTGAAGCAATAGCCCCCGCCTCTCCCCACCTGTCCGGAAGATTTCAACTTTAACGGACAGGTTGACCGGCGAAAAAAAAATCTAACTGAAACTCTGCCGTATGCCTTGGGAGAGGTGGAGAGGTGGGTGTTTTTCATCTGCTGGTGGACTACCGGAGGGATTTACAGCAGGAGCAAACGCTTGCCTCAGGGAGGGAGAAAAAGAGCCAGAGCGTCCACAGCGGACAATAAACAGAAGGGAAACCATGGCAACCATGCGCGGGAAGTCTTCTTCGCTGCTTTTGTGGCAGGAGTACAGCGCCACTTACAGGCCCGGCATAAGTACTACTACTACTAATGTACTCCAGCGCTTTCGAGCGGTCTCGTGTGAACGGACACGTTTCTGGTGCCTGTTGCGTGTGGACGGAAGACTTTTTTTATATCGATTTCGGTCCGTTTGCGTTATCGTCCTTGGGTGGCTCCAGCCTAAAACTCCTTGGGTGAGCCATTAGCTCTCCACAGTAGCATTTAGTTTGTGCTTCGTGTTGCAAAACAGTATCCATACAACAATTAACAGCGATCACCAGTCACTCTCACTGCTTTTAAAGGTGTTAAAGCATTCAGACACCAGCAGTCCCCCCGGAATTGGCTCGACAGCATTTCCTTATCGTCAAGTGGTAACAGCTGGATCACTTAAGGATAGCTTTGAGGAAAACAGCCAACACCTTTCTCTTAAATGGATCTCTACAACACATTCAATCCAGTGCCTTGGTGGTTTATATAATGGGTCAAATCTAAGAGGTGTAGAGTGTGTGTGAATATTTCTATTAAACTAGGTTACATAGGCTATTTGGATTCTTACCCAAGACAATGCCGGTACCACTTAGATACGTGTTGGAAATGTCCAGCCTCTTTCACCAAAGCGACTTACATACTCAATACTGTGGACAATCCCCACAGGAGCAATTTGGGGTGAAGTGTCTTGCCCAGGGACACAACAACATGCTGACTGCAGTGGGGTTTGAACCTGTGTCCCCCTGTTCCAAACACCAATGCACAACCCACTGCACCACACGCCTCCCGGCTCAAAAACCTATATTACACCCGAAAGGAAAGGGGAAACCCCCAAAAGCACAATATGGCCTCTTTGAGTCTGTAAAATATGATTTGTAAACCGGGATATACTGTATATGCAGCTCTGCAATTCTTCACTCAAAATAGTATTTTCACACATACTTAGCCTTTAGCGAGTATTGGGTTTGTTGAATATTTAATCAGCCCTACCTGGCACCATCAATACTGAACTTGCATACTGCAGATGTAGTGCAGATGTATTTGTACCCTTTTTTAGATGATGGCTGATTTTTGTAGCTTTTGACAGCTTTGTAATAATAAAATAAACCCCAAAGCATATATGTCACCTGTCTATCATGAGAGCAATATTGTTGTTCAAGGTTGTGTTTGACGTTTGATAGATCAGTCTGAAAACATATGAAAACAAAACCACAGGGACGGACACAATGTACACGGTTTTACAAAAAAATAAGCACAAGATATCAAAATATTCTAATGAATCATTAATTGGGTAATCCGCTTGTAGTTGCTGTGAAGAACAAAAAGCCTTCTCTGACTCTCGTATTCAGGCTGCTACTCATTGTTTTCCAGAGAACAAAGCATAAGGATGCATCATGCGCAGGCAGCATTTCATACCATCTTCGATCACAACAACTCTGTGCAAATTATTGCTTTGTTGTGCCGGATTCAATCACACATTGCCAAAAGCTAAATGTTCAGACCTGCCACAAAACACTTGAGACTTCTGCCTCCAACCACAAACCCTTGTTTAACAGGAAGATAAAACGTAATAAGCAATAAACACGATACAAGGCCTAGCATGTCATTTTCACATTGGGCAGTAATTGAGGGTCTTGGACTTGGTCTCAAACACATGCACAAGCACACATAAAAACCCATATCTAATCCGTGCTAGTAATCATATGCAAAGTTATCCTACTTTAGCCAACAGAGAGCAGGTTCTACAAGGAGAATTAACTTAAGTGGGGAGATGAAAGGGAAGGGAGAGAAGAGAGACAGGAGATGTGGGGCCTGACTCAACAACAACACACGACACTCACCGTGGTACTGGCTGAATACATTCCTCAGAAGATGGTACTTGGTGGTGTAATCCCCCACCTCGGATAATGGAGCATCGTAATCTGAAAGATAATGTGCTATCAGAACAGCAGGCTGGGAGCCGGAGAGAGGCAGGGATGCCTCTTACCGTGGCAGATGCTTTCACCGTGCTCCCCTATCAAACATCTTGAGACAGCAGCGGGCCGAGACACATTTTGAGTTATCTTGACAGAAAATGCCGTTTGAGTCAAAAAGGTAAAAGGCATTCAGAGGAGTAAACACAGATTTCACTGGAGGTGGTCTTCCCTACCGGGGAGTCACTCTCAGAAGTCTCCTTTTTTCTAAAGAACGAGGTCATTATAATGTTAAGGACCCTAGAGGAGCATATAAAACCCATTGTACGTCTTTAAATTTACATTTAAATTTGCATTTTATTAGGTAATGAATTCATTAATGCGCACTGCATATTCACATTTCAAGTCAGTCGAAGGTCAGAGGCTCCGGAGTACGGATAGCGCCATCTACAGATTCCAAATATCAAAACCATTTTTTTGTTTTCTTTTCAAATGTCCTTAAGGCAGATTTAATCAGACTGATTTAATCTAATTGTTTGATGATTATGGGCACTCCTGAGTCAATACTTTTTTTTAACAAGCTTTATAGATTGGGTCAGCCTACAGTACCTTGGCAAATAATCAGTGGGCTGGATACTAGATTTAAACTACACAATTATCAAGGCCAAAAATGAAAAGAATAAGGCTATTATTTAAATGTATCTTTTCCTTTTTGCATTGTGTATTTTTCTTCAATCTGAAGGATATTGAATTGCCTTTTTTGTGTTCAATCCTGACCAATCAGTCCTGTATATACTATTTTCTTCTCTTAACTCAAATCCAAATTTCACTTTTTCAAATGTAACAAAAGGCTGGTCACAAAGAAAGTCTTCACACATACCATAATTTGTCACCATAGCTTTAGGTGCCGGCATTCCAACGGCGAACGCTCCGCCCATAAAGCCAAAATTTGTCCCACCGTGGAACATGTAGAGGTTGATGGACATGTTCAGTTTAAGGATCTCTGTGACCACAGGTAACATGTCTGTAAACAAAAAGAATGGATGATAAAACCAGTTAGTAATTCCGAAAATAACATAAACTAAGGTTAGCATTAAGCCCAATGGGCAACCCAACATAAGTTTTCAGCTTTAACAAGGCACCGTTTCACTAATCCTATTGCCCCTCAATTCCACTTCAATCGAAATATGGATAGACCTCATGCACATATCCTACTATATGTACCTATAATTCAATGCTCACACCCATGAAAAATTGCCTAGCTCTCCGCACAAATTATATATTTTGCAGAGAACATAGCAGAGCGAGTAATTAGGTATTCAAATTGGACGTGAGCAGTCAAATTGGACTGACTTTAATGATTTGAATCAAGGGCATGAGCCTTAGTGAATAACAATTGAGCGGGCTGAGTGACAAAAGCCGGACCCGGTCGTTTTTTACTGTGGTGGCACTAGCTGTGACCAACAGTGTGTGTTGCAGTCTGCAAAGCACTGAGATGTCAAGGACATGAATCCCCTCTGAATATCCCAGCGTTCATTTCATAGCTGTGACTCTTTCTGCATGGCCAGGGTTCTTTTTATCCCGTTCCCTTTCTCGAGAGAAGGAAAATGCATAAGGAAGCTTTTCATTTTCAGAGCATCTTTTGTTAAGATGTGGATGACTGCTGGGAAGCCTGAGGCTCTGTGCGTTTGAAATGAGAAGTTTACTAGGAGCACTCAAGGTGGCTATAGCAGGGTATGTTGATCCATTAATCTTTACAATTGTGTTTTTATGTGTGTGATGACTGTATATTGTACTAAAAATAATATCACCCTTCTGGCCACAGCTTCTGGACCATGATATCTGGTATGTGTGGGATGCTTTAGAGCGCAAACTGTACGAGTTAGCCGCTGGTCATTGATGTTATTATTGCACCAACAATTTGTATACGTTTAGGGCACATCCAGACTATATTATAGGTTTATTCTGAAATATGGTTTATTTCTTTGTTTATTCTACTGCATTGACACATCCTAACAACAAAATATTTCTTGTTTCACTCCAAAACAAAACAATTTTCACTGCAATACTAATTATATATTTAATTTGTTTTTAAGAAAATACGGTTTGTATGACCTCGGAAAGTATTTTTAAGATTGGATAACAAGTACACATTGATGCATCAGTTACAGTCCAATAATATAATACAGGCCTTTGGTTCCTTTATACATAGTGAATTTTGCTGAACATACTTCTGTAATTTTACAAGCATTGGTCTTTATCCTTATTCCACCATTGCAAGAGTATGACATGATACACAGCCCTGCCTATGGTTTAATTGTTCATGTTTTTCCATAGTTGGTGCAATAAGGCAATAAATGCAGAAGCAGACTGAGAAGTAATTATGAATATAAACACGTAGGTTTTAAAAAACTTTTTTTATGAGCAAAGAACACCATATTAAGGCCACAAGGATACACACAATCTATTTTGGTTAGTAACCGTGGACGTAGGCTAAATGTAACTTTGTCCTAAGTCTCACATATATTTTGTCATATCTTATGTCCAGGTGCGGTTATTTAAATTGTGCAGCACATACTGTATATAGCCTGTGACTCAGAAAAACAGTGCAGCATATAATTCATAGGAAAGTACACAACATTATGCTCCTGTCAACTGAAACTTAATTTAATGCAGCCACGAGAAAAACAATTCTAGTGTGTATCTGCATGTGCTACAGCGTGTGTGTATACAGAGGAAGTGGGGAAGATGAATGTGACTCCTACAAAGTGTAACACCTCCACCTGGCCTCGGTACAGTCAGTGAGAGTCGGCGGAGCACATCTTTGAACAATCCTGCACAAAGAAGCGTTTGAAAAAAAATGGCCTCTGCACATCAACATATGGCCAAGAGACAAAGTGGAGAGGGTTGGACACAGACTCTGGTTTGTGATACTTGGTTCAAAACATACCATGCATGAAAAGTATACGCGGTAAATCTCTGACAAAACCAGAAAGGAATGACCATATGCTAGGAGGTACATCCCAGCTGTTGTTCCCATTGCATTTATATACCAGTGAAGAGAAATGAAGAGAAATAGCCAGCTCTCGGGAGAACTGTTTGTATGATACAATAACTTAATTAGAGCTCTATGTGCCTAACTAGCTATAATGGGTGCATACCACCACACAACAGGATGGCTATTCTTCTTGAGATGATGCATCAGATACACTTGATTAGATTTTTTTCATAACCCTAGGCATGTTTCTCATCATAATTTCATTTCATTTTTATTTGTCCGCTCATGGTAAGCAAAACCAAATGTACAATAATTGCCACAAAACATGACTCTACCATTGAGCGAAAAGGAGCAGGGAGAAGAATAAAATCCCCTTTCTAAAAAAAACAAATAAATACAAATAGATGGTCTGCCCTTTTTCACAGCCAAACATAACAGTATCTTAGGATACTAAGAGAAACACACCAAAACAAATACTTATTTCCCACTTGACGGTTAACGGAAAGAAACAAAACAACACCAGAACATCACATGTATAAGGAAAAGAAAAGTGCAACACCCTCATCTGAGTCCTCATCTGAGTCCTACTGGACTAATCTATTTTTTATTAAAGGCAATATGCAACCCAGCTGTATTTGTTGGTATGATCAATTGCATTCTGACTGAAAAACCCTCCAGAGTTTGAGTTAGGGCAGGGCAATATATTGGTATTATATCGATATTGTGATACGAGACTAGATATCCTTTTGAATTTGAACATTGTAAGTGATGTCTTTTGCAAGTTTGAAAGGCTTCATTCCCGTAAAGTGATTCCTTTTTTGAATTTGTAGCTTTTCTCTTATTTGCCTTTACCCACTTGGTCAATAAACCCATATTACTGATGATAAATTATCAACATTATAATGATGTACATTTTGGTGATGCAGTCAACACAATATTGTCACAATATTGAAATCAAACATATTTGGTCAAAACAAGTTATATTTGATTCTCCATATCATTTAGCCTTATTTTGAGTAGAGGCAAGTAGAGAACCACCCTCATTCAGGGATCTACTGTAAGTGCAATTGCTGTGTTGATATATTCCAAATCAACAGGTCCAAATGAGCTAAGTGAGAACAAACACCCACACTCAGTCTGGAGGATTTACTAACCCTCCCTTTACAGCCTTTCTTACCCTAAAGGTCCTGAGACTCTGTCTTCCCCCTCAAGACAGTCTGTTCTACCTTCACAGCTCCTGTATCGGCTCGCAAAAAAACCCCTTTCTTTCTCTGTCTCAAATTAGCCGATTGTATCGACCTTCTGTTCAGAAAGAAACGGTTTCACCCTCAGAGAATCCATCAGCAGAAATCCTGTCTGGCTCTCACATGTCTTGTCAGGGATCCTAAAGCTCTCTCTGAATGAAAACCCGACTACCCATTCTGAGTCCGTCTTACCCTCAGCTGGGTAGACATGATGAAGGTCCCCCCAAAGATCGAACCAGCCAGACCAGTACTCCATCACCATCTTCGGCTTGTGAGGCTGATGGGAGAAAGAGTTGTCCATTAAATAAAAGATACGTCTGAATGACCTTTCAGCTAGTCCCTTATTCCATTTGTGTGAAACCCTGAATTAATTGTCTCTAAGATTAATGATCTTCTTTCAGGTCTCTAACTTTTTCTTTTAAGGTGGGTAAGTAACCTCAAAGGTTCCCTGGGATTAACATGGACAGTCTGTTTTGGGAAAAGCAAAGATTCGTTTTAGCTTGATGTTCACTTCGATAAAAAAGAGAAGTAATGACAGACTCCAAGACCACGGATAACAACAAAATGAAGAATGAAACCAAAACGCAAAAAAGACTCACTTGTATCTCATCCAGATACTTGATGTCCTTTGGGTTAAACTTCTGGAAATTGATGGTTTCTAGTGCTTCAGAGCCAAAAAGGTAGAACATTGTTAACACAAATCTGCAGGGAATCAGTTCAAACTAATACAGACCATGCTTTAGAAAGAGATCTACGGAATGAATATTGTTTTGAGTTGTACTTAAACCCTCACATGATTAAGTTCTTGTAATTTAAAAAAGTATTAGCAGTTCCCCATAGCATCTTAAACTTCAATATAAAGCACAATGCTCCTCAAATCACAAAGTTAATAAGCATTAAAACTGTCAATTAAAACAGTTAAGCGGCTGCATTAGGAAACAGGCAACGAGGCATCACATTTAAGTGTTCATCTACAGCATGGAAATCATGATTAGGAAATATGTATTTTTAAAAAATATCAGGGGGGTTTATTATAACAATACTCTGGAGGATTATATCCTGTAATTATAAGGATGAGAATAATGCATGATTTGCTCTTATAATAAAACAAAAATACTATTATCTCAGTGACAAAAAAGCTTATTATGACAATGTTTGCCAACAATAAAATAGCATGTGTCAAAGAAGATACTTTTATATTTCAATATCTCTGTTTTTGCTTTGTGTTAGGGTTAGCTTTGTGGTATTACACAGGATCCTTTGTGAGTAGTTCTGAGCTGCAGTTGCCTGACACAAGCCACCCTTCGCCTCAGACCTCTTGTCGTTGTGTGAAAACAAACTCACCAACCAACCTACTGTATATGTGTCTATGTATGTCTGTTTGGGTGTGTGTAGATGCAGCCTTGTTTGTCTGTCAGCCCATCTAACAATACCTCCTTTCACTCCTCCAAGCTTTAGTCCTTCCTTGTTGTCTGAGGTCAGCAGCAGCTCTGAGATGCCTCTTGACAACAACGACTGGGAAACAAGAGAAGTATTGGAGGCAACAAGAAAAAATGAAAGGTTATTTCTGAAATATCATTGATTTCTCTTTTCAAATTGAGTTAAAATAAGAGTGAGTTAAGGACAGCAGCGGATATAAAGTGTACTCTCTTCTATTACCACAAATTATTCAAATAATATACAGTTTAGTTTCTTACCTCCTTGATGAAAGGCATGTATTTGTCATCTTTGGCATAGGAGCCATACTCATTCTCCACTTGAACTGCGATAATTGGGCCACCCTTGGAGTACTGCGGAATAATTAGCCAATGAATGGGACACATATTAGAGCCTGGCACAGTTCTCAGCATTTCTACACTCAGTACAGCTGAATTTGATGAAAAACACTGAGAAGGAAATCAGAGCTAGTCCAATGATGCATGGATGAAAAGAAAATATGCCCTGGATGCCATGAGTTTATTTAGGTTCATATGGTAAATATATTGCTTGTATACATGGTAACGTGCATAGTGTGCAGGAATAACATATGAAAGCAAGTATTCCATCATGAAAAAATGGGCAGGCATTTGTATGCATGTTTGAATATATCAAAACAAAACATATTTTATATATTACATATTTGTTTGTGTCATATTTCCATTAAAAGGTCCTATACTACTTATTTTCAGGTTCAAATTTGTATTTTGTGTCTCTACTGCGACATGTTTACATGCTTTAATGTTCAAAAAGCCTTTATTTTTCTCATACTGCCTGTGCTGCAGCACCTCTTTTCACCCTCTGTCTGAAACCAGAGCCCAGTCTGCTCTGATTGGTTAGCTGACCGGCTCTATTGTGATTGGTCAACCTTAGAGATGTATGGCATATCATGTGTTTTGTTTAGCCTTTGCAGACCATTTACATGCACAAAAACCTATACAACACACTACAGGAAAGGGTAAAGGCCCTGTCACACTGTCCCGAAATTGACACCCGATGGACACACGATAAAGGAAATGTTCAAATTCGGCTGTGATCGTAGCAACATCGGGCCATTCGTGAGGGCATCTTAAGCCATCGTATGACCGCCGGTGGAGTTTCTCAGGCTCCGGCAGCAACTTAGTGAGCGGCAACTTCGTAAGGCACTCGTGAGGACATCTTGTCAAATCGTGTCATCTTCGTGTTATCATCGGTGCCATCGGGCATTCGCCCTCACTCTGATCGGGGCGAATGCCCGATGGCACCGATGATAACACGATGCCCTCACGATGGCCTTACGAAGGGCACAATTGACACACGAATTCAACACGAAAATGAACCTTCGCAAGGTCCTTCGGCAATTTTTTGGCATGCCAAAGATTTTGCCACCGCTCACGAAGTTGCTGCCGGAGCCTGAGAAACTCCACCGGCGGTCATACGATGGCTTAAGATGCCCTCACGAATGGCCCGATGTTGCTACGATCACAGCCGAATTTGAACATTTCCTTTATCGTGTGTCCATCGGGTTGTTTTATTGCACAACAAAATCATGTAAATATATTATGTAAATAACCCAATTTGTGTTCTGTGAAACTAAAAAGGATATAATATATTATTTTGAAGGACAGTTGACAGGAAGTTGTTGTTGTTATGGAAACAACATTACGGAGAAAACGTAATATTTTCTACATATAACGACGGATAAAGTAAAGAACAAAGTCTGAAGATATCAGTACAGTATCATAGTACTGTAACACAATTGTTTTTGGTACTTTCATTGCAGTTGTATGTCTTAAATGTAATGTAAATGTTGCCTTCATGTGTGGTTCGGGGCCATCATCGTGCGAAATTCACAATTCCATATTCGTGTGTCCATCGGGTGTCAATTTTGGGACAGTGTGACAGGGCCTTAAACCCCAACAAGGATAATTGGGCTCATTTGGTCTCATATACATTTTCTTCTCAAACATTGTAGTGTATACATCAGTCAAATTATTTCGTTACATTTCTATTGTGCTAATATATAACGTACCTGATGTGGAACAACTTTCTCAATGAGATGATTAAAGAAGGAGTTAACGGCATCAGTGAATCCTGGGTAGGTTGTTCTCAGTTTCATGTTTTTATCTCGTAGTAGCCAACTAAAAAGAAATCAAAAGAAATTATTTGAAAAGTCCAAAAAGTAACATACAGTATCACCCAAGTTATTCAACAAGCTTTGCAGTGAACTCTAGCGTTTTTAGCTCTCGAAGACAGTTACACTAACCTAAGCATGACTATCACAAAGTGCAGTACAGAGGAAGCCATGCTTCACTGCATGCCCCTAGAAACACTTTGTTTTGACGATCATCAAATAAATATCACCTAAACCTCATAGTCCCCCAAGGCTAAACTGCTCCAAAAATACCTTCTTCCAGTCTTTTTAACTCCAACATTCACCCCGTTATCTGTTCAAATCTATGATGATTACAGAAATAAATGAATTCATCATCGTTTTTTAAGGAGCTTTGCCTGTCAGATTAAATTTATGTTCTCCTTAAAATCTCACTATAAGTATGGAAAATAATTTGTGACAATCATCTGAATAACATTAGAGGTTACTTGGATGATTCATAATGTCCTCACTTACACTATATGTAAAACCCTGTTGTCTTTGTATCATAAACCGTATGAAGAGCACTGAGGTGGATCAATCCTACTAAGGCATGTCCATGTTTTGCAATATGTAGCTGAAGAAACTGGCAAAAAACATGACAGAGACGGCAGACTTGAAATCATTCACATTACTTCATTATTTCCAAGAGTTTAATGGATTTACCCCGAAGCAAAGATACCGCTAACAAACAGCTTAACTGACTGAACAAATTATGTCCAAGCCAATTTAAGGAATTCAGTTAACAACCCAGTTGCTGTTCTAAAAGAATGCTTTACAATGTTGATATGGCTGTAAGGCATATTCAAAAGATCTGCACAGGTTACATTTAATTGGGATGTTTACCTGGGTAGGCCACCTAAATCCCACTCTGCACAGATGTACGGCCCTGGACGCAGAATCACCCAGAGGCCCAAGCTGGCTGCAAGACGGAGGTAAGCTCTAAGGGAAAGAAAAACAATATTTGTATCTATTTATCATCAATACAATTCATTCAAATATTTACAACAGCATGAACACAGTATGGCTTAGTTATGCTCATTAAAGCAGATGTTTAATTGTAATTCATTCTAAAATATTTAACTTAATTAATTTTCTTCATTTTTACAGAATATAATAATGTTTCTGTATTTAAGGTAACACCTGCTTCTTGACAGCAGGCAGCCAATTTGATGGATCATCCCCATCTTGGCAATATATCAAGAAGCCGTGATAGTGATTATGGCTAATTAATCACATGGTTTTTTTTTTAATGGGGAAACGTACATCATTTTAACATTTAACATTTTATTACATTATTTACTGTAAGACTGTGAAAAATCTTGTAATGCAACAGTGCCCTCTGCAGGCGTTTAGCAGAGACTCTTCCCTTCATTTTTTCTTACTCCAAATCCAACTGATCCTCAAAGTTGAACACCCCTCGCTCAGGCTCGTGCATATTCCATGGCACATACCTAAAAACACAAATGTATTTTCTTTATTATTGTGTTTTAAGTATTTCAATGAGTGCCGTTGGTTTGTGTCCAAAGGCTACCATGTCCTTCTGTTTTCTTAAGAATGGTGTTTGCTCTGCTTTACCTAAAAATAATATACACATTATATATTGCAGTACAATGTGCACATTTTTTATTTATATTCTTATGTTTGTATAAACGTGTTTCTTTATTTCTTTAATGTTTTATTGAAGATTTTATTTTAACTCCTTATGTTTATATGAATGTATTTATTGTATACACATTCTTACTACAACGTTTTACGTCTACATCAATATTATTTTTCAGTTTTTGTATGTATCTTTTGTTTATTTCATTCTGAAATACCATCTATACATCTATCTGACATAGTATGTAGTGTAAAGCAGAGTGTATTCCTCCAGCAGTGAGTGGGAGCCTACGTTGTCAGAGTATTGAGGCCACAGGCCTTCATCTTCAGCAGCCGGTCCTCCCAGTAGGCTCTGGGGACACGGAAGTAATGGATGGAGCCCCCCAGGATGTGGAAGGGTTTTCCCTCCAGAGTGAACTGAGACGAGTTGGCCCTCAGACCCTCCGCACGCTTCATTCTTACTACCTCAGGTCGATTCCTAGGGGGCAAAATACAGTTTACAACTGACAGACAACTTATTGAACTGGCCATGAAGACATTTGAGACATATTAATACACTAGCCTGTGTACTGTAAAGCTAATAGCTTTTTCATATTACAAAGAGGTTCCATTTATCTACATGATTCTTCATAATAATAAAAAACTATCACATGATCATATTAGATTAAATTAGATGATATTGGATCAAATTAGATCATATTAGATTTGTATTGTGCAGAGGTACAAGCCAATAAAATGCAGTTAACCAGAAGTGCATATACATTTATATAGTATTAGTAATACTATAAATTAGAACGTGTAAAAGTACTACAGCAAGTGATGCTATAAATAACAGTATAGAGGTTATAAATAATAAACGTGTATATCAAGAATAAAAGCTGAAGTCTTATTAAGATCTGTAAAAAAATAAAAGATTGCATTGAGATTTATATTTAATTTTGATCCGAATTTCTCGCGTGAGATTCAATGTCCACAGGCCAGCAGGTGAGAGATCACAGGTAACCTGGTTGGTTTCTTAAAAACAGAACTGAGTCCAAATGTCTGAATAGCAGTTATATAACAAAGCATAACACCTCAAACAGTAGGGCTGGTGGGTGGAGAGGCTTAACACATGAAATTCACATTTAAGGCAATAGCCTGTGTCTTCATGCATGGTTCTCTTGTTATGAAAAGGTGGCGACTGGATATATTTCACTGCATGCGTAAAGAGCTAGGGTTTTCCTTACCTTGTAAACCGATAAGCAAGGATCGCTCCGACAGCAACACACAGCAGGAGACAATATCTTTGCTTTAGGGACAGACGAAGCCCAAACATTGATAAGATTTCCATCGACAACAATAACAACACGACTTCAGTCAAAGTTGCGCCCTGTTCGTTGCTTATGTTCATGCAAATTAAAGTGAATATATTTTACTTCCCAAAACGGTCGACGATGAGTTATACAATGCATCACAAACCCTGTCAAACCTGACGTGATAACGTTGATAAAGTCACCCCATATTCACATAACGTTAGATTACTTCCGGGATTCAAAGTTAAAAAAAACGAAACGTGGTCAATTAAAATGTTCACTTGGTTTACTTTTATGGACTCTAATGTAAACTAGTTGCAGTCTATGAGTGTGACCAATATTGTATATCAGATTAATGTCTTCCAAAAGTATACAGAAGCGGCAAACTGTATTTTACTTTAGGGACCGTCGCACATTTATGCAACCGAAAAAGAACGCAGAACACTTTATCCAGATTCAACAACATAGCAGAAGACAGAAGATGTCCCTCCCCTGGGTGTTGGACCTCGAGCACCTTCATGAAAAACAATTGCATAGACCTCTGGACCACCAATGTGTTTTTACAATGAACAACCAACTATAGGTCTTGCTGAGATGTGATTTGGATTTAATTTGTACCTTTAGGCACACAATGAGCACACAGGTATGGAGGACAGAACATGAAATAAGTAACAAATACATAAATGCATAAATACAGGAACAAAAACTGAAATAAATACAGGAATTAAAAATACAAGAATAAATAAATGTGGAAAAAAACCTGAAATAAATCATTTGGAAATAAATACAGAAATAAATACAAGAAAAAATAAATAAATATGAAAAGTTGACAATAAAACAAAAGACACATATTGCACCGTGCTGCTGCACAGCGGGAGCAATGCTCTTTTTTACATTTTCTATTCAAGTTTACTAACATGTCCAAATTGCACATCTTGACAATAAACCAGTGTTCTTGTTTATTACATTTCTTTGTTCACTCTATTTTTGAGAATATTTATAAGTTATACTTTAAAAAGTGGTGGGGACAACATTGGCCATTTCAAAAAGTGATGGGGACATGTCCCCAGTGTCCAGCGCAAATGCTGCCAATGATTTAAGACTATGTAGGTTTTGTCCAATGTCCAACTTGAAAGGGAATATTGTAATTAGATACTTTTAATATTCTCTTTCAGTTCTTTTTTTATTAACTGTCTACTTGATTGGGTGAAAATAAAGTATACAATGCCCCACAGTCTCATTCTGTTCCCAAATGCTTTCTTGTAAGGGGTAAGTTAAATATAATCTTGTTCCTGTTTTCATCGTTTTAATCAGTTCATTCCTACTCTTTACACTTCCCTTAAAAATCCTCCCATCCATATTTGATGTCTTCTTTCAACTAGCCATCCCATACTCCCTGGCGTACAATGTTTAATATTGTGTCTAAGACATAACAATGTCAGCAAAAGTGACAAATACATAATTTTGAGAGCAGTGAGACAACTGAAACAAAAAGCAGGGATCAAGGCTCTATTCAGTTGTACACAGCAATTCAAAAAAAGCACATCTGTTTAATTCCCTAAGTAGGGCAGATTAAAAAGATAACAAGACACAGACACAATGCACACACTTGTGCTATTACACACTAACTTGTGATTACAGTTGCACACGGTACATTTGTTCTTAGACTGTGATTACATGTACAACCACTGGTGCATCAGTACATTTTTCATGTAAACTATATCATGAGGCCAACATGTTTGTGAACAATGCAAGCTCTTCATTTTTTTACTGAAAGAGGGAGCGAGAGAGACAAAGCACTATTATATTTGTTGTTCGGAAACAACAATAGCTTCCCTTATCCGCAGTGTTTCAGGCCTCCCAGCACCACCCTCCCTTCAAATGCTCTCGGCAAGCTCAGCTCCAAGGCACAGCAATGTTTTGATGTAATTGGGATTTTCTGTTATTCTGCATCTAGGACTTACATGTGTTGGTAAGTTTTGAACTGTTTCTTCCTGTGAAGTAGCCTACTGTTTTATTACAGTAACACATTGTATTGTATTATCCAACACATATGACCTCAGTAGATGGGCCTTTTCCATTTTATTTGATCCAATTCATTTTCACCCAATAGAAAACACCCTGAGGTGCGAAGAATGAGCCGTGTGGAGGGTCTGAGGGCTGATTCCTCTCAGTTCACTCTGGAGGGAGAGCCCTTCTGCATCCTGGGGGGCTCCATCCATTACTTCCGTGTCCCCAGAGCCCATTGGGAGGACCGGCTGCTGAGGATGAAAGCCTGCGGCCTCAATACTCTGACAACGTAGGCTCCTTTTGTAACTCGACTATGCCTCATAATAATCTGTGAAATTTAAAATGGAGAATGTCAAATACAGATCAGGTTAAAGTAAATGTGTTTGTATGAAAAGGTTCTTCCCTTAAAATGAAATAGAAACATCTTTCATGATAAGCTACAAAAGAGTGTTAACTTGCTTTCTTTTCAGATACGTGCCATGGAATCTGCACGAGCCTGAGAAAGGAACATTCAATTTTCAGGATCAGTTGGACCTCAAGTAAGGCTTTTATGTTAAGTATCTCCCTATTTGTAGAAAATGCATGTAGAATTGTTATTTTTGAATTAACAGAAGGTGTCCATGTCTTTTTGTAGAGCTTTTATCAATCTAGCTGCAGAGACGGGTCTGTGGGTGATCCTGCGTCCTGGACCTTACATCTGCGCTGAATGGGATTTGGGCGGGTTGCCTAGGTAGCACCATCTGCCCATTGTTTTTAAGTATTGCCCTATACTAGAAGTGTGCCAAGAAGTTGTTTTTGTTTGTTTCTTATAGCTGGTTGTTACAAGATAAAGACATGCAGTTGAGGACAACTTATCCTGGCTTTGTAAATGCTGTTAACCTCTACTTTGACACGCTTGTTGCCGTAATCAAGCCTCTCATGGTAAGTCAAACTCAAGGTTTTGTCAAAATATTTCCCAAAATAACTATTATAGCTTTCAGTGAGACAAGCATTTATTGTTTTTGCCCAGTTTGAAGAGGGAGGCCCAATCACTGCAGTTCAAGTTGAGAACGAGTATGGATCATATGCCAAAGATGAGAGTTACATGCCATTTGTACGAAATGTGAGTTGTATTGCAATGTTTATTTTTGACTGAAAGCTTTTACAACATTATACTGAAGGAATTCCATATCCTTTTTGACAGTGTCTCCAGTCCAGAGGAATCAAGGAGCTCCTGTTGACATCAGACAACTGGGAGGGCCTGAGTTATGAAGGGGTGGAGGGAGGTAATGAAAATAACTGACCCTCAAAAGGGGGAGAAATGCATAAGGTGTATTATTTTTTGATTTATTTTTGATTTAATCATCATATTTATACATTTGAAACATCATTGTCATTGTTTGACTTTGTCCTTCATTTTATCTAAATCTGGTTCCTTTCAGTTCTAAAGACAATAAACCTTCAGAAATTATCATTCGGAGCTATTCAGCACTTAGCTGAAATGCAGGTAAGTGATTGTAATGGGTAGATTTTCAATGGAGCTTTTGTACTCACTATTGAGCAGTTGCAACAAAAAAACATGATGAGGATTTTGTGTAAGAGGAACTAGTCCTCATACATCACAGTATTCTGTAAGACATGTTTAATACAGACATGTGTTCTGTTTCGCGTAGCCCCAGAAACCTCTAATGGTGATGGAGTATTGGTCCGGCTGGTTTGACGTTTGGGGAGAACATCACCATGTGTTCCATGCTGAAGGTATGGAAACACTTTTCAACCATCATTGAACATTTATGCTCAGCACATGCTCAATGTCAGCCTAACTGTGCAGCCCATTTGTTCTATTACACATGTTTACACAAGCTTCACCATGGATAATATCTATTATCAGACATTCAGGTTATCACTGTTGAGCTGTTAATGTATAATAGAAGGACACTGTAACAAATGGAGAAGAGAAATGTTGGCTCACTTTTAGTGTAATATATTTTGTACTAAATATTTGGCTTACAGATATGCTTGCTGTTGTGTCAGAGCTACTTGAGAGAGGTGTCTCCATTAATCTGTACATGTTTCATGGAGGAACCAGCTTTGGCTTCATGAATGGAGCGATGGACTATGGCACCTACAAACCTCTGATCTCCAGTTATGGTTGTTTGGAATTACCTAAGAGTTCAGAGACCAACGATTTAATATATACATGATTCCCTTTAAGTAATGCATTGCTTCTTACCATTTTTGCAAACCTTTTTATTGCAGATTACGACGCTCCGCTATCTGAGGCTGGAGATTGCACGCCAAAATATCAACTCTTGAGGACTTTATTTAGCCAGTATCACTGTAATGTCTCACATCATTGATTGAGCGACATATTTTATGAGAAACTCAGCAATTAATTTGATGACTTCATTACACAGAGTAATTGAGTTTGCCTCAATCAGCGTAATGAAATGTGTTTGCCAACTTGTGTTCCAGGTAAGCCTCTTCCTGAAGTGCCGTCTCCTTGTGAGAGGAGAGTCTATGACCCTGTTACCATCCAGCAGCACCTGTCACTGTGGGACAGCCTGCACTTCACCGACAAGGTACGCTACATAAGGCCAGCAGCTGTAGGGTGTTTTTATAAAGGCAATGGAAAATGTTTCATCCCAACCGTCTGGTATATAAAGGAGCATTGATGGGATGGGAGTAAAATGCAAGATGTGGTGAGCTTCAGAGAGACAGAACATCTCTGTTATCAGCCTGTGTGCCTACTTCGCTGTCTTCACTTGTATAGAGGTGTCACAATATGCTGCTCACACTCAATACAGATGTCTCACACCTGGCAGCTCAGGTTTGGTCATGCATCAAGTTGTACACACCTGCTTCTTTATTTTCTTTGTACATATATCATAGTGATACTTAAACAGCGTAAAACCAACAGTGGTGGTATCTTGCACTGCCTGTAAAACTACCGACACAGATTTCATGTCATTGTCCTCAGAGATCTGATGTGTATGGTGTTCTGCCAGATGATGTATCTAATACTTTAGGATGTCTGGCAATATTGCAGCCTTTCAGGTCGGAGAAGCCGGTAAACATGGAGAATCTCCCTGTCAACAATAACAATGGTCAGTCATATGGGTACACACTGTATGAAACCATCATCACCTGTGGAGGAACCCTCAACTCAAAGAACAACATCAGAGATAGAGCCCTGGTAAGAATAGACAGATACAAACAATACATGCAAAATACATACTTAAATGTATACAACATCACTATACACAATCCTGTATTTGTCTTTTCATTCTTTCTAGGTTTTTGTGGACAGACAATGTGTTGGTACTTTGGACTACAAGACTCATGAGCTGGCACTACCTGATGGAAAGGTGACTTTTCTAGAGGCTATCTGTACACCACCTTCCCTAAATGTTTTAATTAAACTTAGACCTAGGGCCAATTACCAAAGTGCAAGGGTCAATTTTTCTAAAGCATTCCAGAAATATATTTCTGAAAAGCCTTAACTTTATATAACTATATGGATATATATATTTAAAGTTTTTTAGAGGGATTCTGAGTTATCCGGCAGATTCCAAATTTGGAGCATGTAATTGTGTTCAAACAAGATTAAGAGGAACTACAGTAACAACACAATGTGATTCTGAGTCATATGCATTACATGATCAACCCAATGAAGATACTCTCTGTTTATTTGGCTTATTCACAAACATAGAGATATGCAGGTAGTCTCATTGTGATCACTCTTCTTACCTGAATAACTTTTTTTAAAAGGACACTTGTTTTTTGTATTGAAGGGAGAGATGACTTTGAGCTTGCTTGTGGAGAACTGTGGAAGAGTGAATTATGGGAAAGCACTGGATGAACAACGCAAAGGTATTTTGCCTTCAAATGTTAGCTTCTTGTCCTCTACCATACATTGATTTATTGCTCTTACACCAGTTATGAAAACTGAGTAAACAAATACTCATTGTACATTTCTCATGAATATTTCAGACCTTCAGTTTTCATATTAGAACTGATTTCCATAACGGAATTAAATCATTCTTATTATTAGAAGAATCAAGAGTACAGTGAATGTTGCATCAAAACTGAAAGGTTCCCTTTAACAAGTCAAATAACAGCCACATGGAAAGTTACTGATATTTTCTATATTTTATGGTATAATACGAAATCTCATATTGTACTACAGGTATTGTTGGAGACATTCTGTTGAACCACACCCCTCTGAGAGGATTTATCATCTTCTGTTTAGACATGAAGCCATGTTTTATGAAAAGGTTGGTTAACTGAATTATATGCTATTTTGGCTCACGAGTGATTTTTACTTATAATGCATAATGAATGTTTGATCTTGTTTCAGACTAATGAGTTCAGGTCAATGGAAGTCTGATGTCAAGTTGCCCTCCATCCCAGGGTTTTTCCAGGCCAGACTGTATGTGGAAGGTCCTCCAAAAGACACCTTCATCAAACTCCATGTGAGTGATCCTTTACGTTAAACTGCACCTTTATAGCTAGGAAATGTTTTATATTGATCTACTATTTATTGTATTTTAAAATGATCTAATATATATTTAAAAAAAAACATGTTTCATAATATGATATGCAGCGTTAAGCTATTTGCAATACAGCTACAATTAAGACATCTTGAAGCAATTCTGAATAATTGAATGTCTTACATTCAACTGTTCTACAGCTGTGTTTTACTAAAGTAATTGTTTCATTAATAATATTATAAGTACACATTGGTCTTCTGTTTAGATAGATAGATAGATAGATGGATAGATAGATAGATAGATAGATAGATAGATAGATAGATAGATAGATAGATAGATAGATAGATAGATAGATAGATAGATAGATAGATAGATAGATAGATAGATAGATAGATAGATAGATAGATAGATAGATAGATAGATAGATAGATAGATAGATAGATAGATAGATAGATAGATAGATAGATAGATAGATAGATAGATAGATAGATAGATAGATGGTTAGATAGATAGATAGATAGAGAGATAGATAGATAGATAGATATATAGATATATAGAGAGATATATAGATAGATACTTTAGTGATCCAGAATTGGGAAATTATTGTGTAACAGCAGCAGCAGTGTGTTGTATTACAATATTTAAAATGTAAAAGGTGGAATATTATACCTGTGGATCGATTCAAAGGGTTGGGGTAAAGGAGCCGTGTTTGTCAATGGGCAGAACCTTGGACGTCATTGGTTCATTGGACCCCAGCATCACCTTTATCTCCCGGGACCTTGGCTCAGAAATGGAGAGAATCAGGTTTATGACATTAACCCCTGCTCTCTATTTGTTTTGTAGATGAATTGCGGCCCCTTGTTGACATTTTTTCTATTTTTATGTTCTCTTTCAGATTATTGTTTTCGAGGAACAAAAAGCAGATGACAAAATATTTTTTGCTGAAAATCCTGATCATGGAAAGACAATTGATGTTTACAAACTCCCCTTTTGCACACTGCTGTAAAAATAATGTACAGCAAAACACACACACACACACACACACACACACACACACACACACACACACACACACACACACACACACACACACACACACACACACACACACACACACACACACACACACACACACACACACTTGGATGCAGGGGACAGTTTATTGATAACTGCAGTTCTTGTCATCATTAAAAAAGCTATTAGTTAACTAACCATAATGTTTTAAGTTACTATTGTACACCAGTAGCTTATGGTTTTCTTCATATATTTAGTGAGCTGTTACATGCCATTGATCTGTTTCCTTAAATTCAAGAATTCAAGAAGGTTTCCTTCGTCTTGTTTTTGGACTTTGGTTTGAACTTTGTTCTGATTAGGAGAAAACACATTTCATTGACCTTTTTGACCCTTTAAAAGCATTACATGTCCTCACAAACCTCTCATTGGACCAAAGGCTTGTCATTCACATGAGCGACGCTCCCTTACTCACAAATGACATCACACCATGGGAAACATTTCACCAGAAAGCCCAGTAACCGGAACACAAGTCTTCTATGCTTTCACAATAAAGAATAAACAACTGTTATCCTGGCCAGCTCTGACACATGTGTTGACTCAATATCTTGATTATTTACATAGTTATCTAAGATTACCTTTATACAATGTGAATATGGGTAAGCATTTCTTTTAAATATACAGTGACAATGAACTATAAATCACAATCTATTCTATTGGACATTTCCTTTGGTTTTATTTTGAAATTATTAGCAGGAAGTCCAAATACCTATGGCTAGCTTAATTTGTAAATGTATCCGTCAGTGTTCCTGTGTTGGCACAGCAGTGTGCAGGAAGAGCACTCGGTTATTTCAACTAGCAGAAGAGTCCATGTCCATAACAACATTGTATTTGTGACTTAATATTAGCTTTATTCACATTGAATGTAAGGCTTTCGAAATGGTGGCATAGTGGTTTGTAATAGCAGCTCCACAGTACATTAGCCTAGCCGAGCTGAGCTGCTGAACTGGACCAGTTAGGAGTAGGGTTGGATATGTTAAGCTAAGTTTAGTTTTATTTATATAAATATTAGTTTGCATCTGCATCCTGACATGGAGTCAAACATTGGCACCGTTCTTTGGTGCTCTGCGGGCATTGCTGTGGGTGGACTTGTTTTTGCAGCATACAAACTCGGTTTACTCTACCAGCTCTTTCACAAGGTAGGTTGTCAAAATTCAACATGGTTATCATAAAACAAATTGCTTTTATTTGCCTCTTTCTGTTTCTCTACATGCATGGCAGCTTTAAGATAAAATGCATGTAGAGAGACAGAAAGAGACAGAGTCATAGCGAACACACCTGTATTATCTGGCTTTTGAATTAATCTGTATTCTGTAAACTGTCACAGGTGAAAGGTGAATGGCCTCTATTCATGTAAACTTTGACCGGCTTTGTGGTTTTCTGGCACAAAGGCTATCACAACACCTAGGTTGTTAGTGGTATTGCACAAAGGGCAGAGGCACTTCACCTCTGCAGGCCACAAGTGGTTGTAAAATATGAATGACCGATGGAGTAACACTGAGATAGTGTGACAGATGACCTTTAGATGGGCTATTAACTCACCCTTAGAGCTTTCCCCCCTACTTTACAAAATAGTTCCTTCTGCTGAATCAGTGAGCAGACATGCATTATCCGACTAATCTCCTCCAACTTCACTTTTAGTATGTTCCCTATCTTAATCACCTCTATTACAAAACACAATTAATGCACACAATGCTAACAATTTCTTGTTTATTTTAATACTGTGAGTCCTGCACAACCCCCGTAATGTTGCACATTCTGCTCATAGCTACCTCTTATATTAGCCTACTTGGCAATAACCCTGTTTCTGATTCTGACCTCAGGCTGAGACGAAGAGCCCACGACATGGTGGCGAGAGCGTGGCAGAGGTGCTGCGCGCCCACGGGGTCAAGTACGTGTTCACCCTCGTCGGTGGACACATCTCCCCTATCCTGGTGGCTTGCGAGAAGCTGGGCATTCGCATTGTGGACACCAGACACGAAGCCACTGCTGTCTTCGCTGCCGATGCTGTGGCGAGGCTTTCAGGTGCAGATGTATGCTATGAAATGAGATAAATGTTGGAACCTTAGTGTTATTTGAGCTCATATCATGTTACTGGCAGTTATGCAGAATACAGGACTTGGCCATGCGGTGCCCTTGTTAAGGTATGTCTAAGTATTGTATTGTATTGTTAGCATTGTAGCCCTCCCGCTTCTACTAATTTTGTTCATTTGTGTGTATGAATTATACGTTTTTGTTTTTGTATGATTTTAGTAGAATAAATAAAAAAATAAAAATTAAAAAATAAGTAAATAGGGCTTTCCCTCAGCAGTAGATTTGACTTTGCAAACACAAGTGTGCATAGATTTAGCCAGGATTACATTTCATTGTGCCAGTGTTTGGGGCCATGATATTCCAAACGAATTAAATACGTTTAGATAGCTAGCTCAGTGTGTAGTTATTTCCTTGAATCAGTCATGCATGTGTGTTTTTAGGGGCTGCTTGTAACCTATCTTTATCGTCTCTTCTACAGGGACTGTTGGTGTTGCAGCAGTGACAGCTGGCCCAGGCCTCACTAACACAGTGACAGCAGTGAAGAATGCTCAGATGGCTGAATCTCCTTTGCTGCTCATGGGAGGAGCTGCTGGTACACTACTCCAGGTATGATGGTCCTCTAACCGTGTTATCCTTGCTCTTTAAACGATTTGACCTCTGTGTGTAACCTCTCCATCCACTGTGTCTGCGGGACAGGGCAGAGGAGCGCTGCAAGATATCGACCAGATGTCTCTCTTCAAGCCGCTGTGTAAATTCTGTGCCTCCATCAGGCACATCAGGGAGATCGTGCCCACCATCAGGAAAGCCCTCGCCATCGCCCAGTCGGGGACTCCTGGTCCTGTTTTCATAGAGTTCCCCATCGACACGCTCTATCCCTTCCACCTTGTGTCCAAAGAGTTTGGTGTTAAGAACCCTCCCAAAGGCCTGATGGGCAAAATTGTTACATGGTATGTAATCAACATGTCTTGTATGTATGTACAATACAATACAATACAGTACACGTATCTACACTGTACATTACTATTTACTGGAGTTTATATACACACTCAGAAATACAATAGAGAAAAGAAGACCAGTTGACTTCCGGGACATATACATTTACAGTTTCATGAAACTACATTTTGAAGTTCTCAGAATACATTAATAAAGTTAGCAACCTCATGGGTGAATTGATCAATTGTTTATAGCATGTGGGGTTTCCTTGAGAACACGTACTTCATTACAGTCATTGTTGTTGGTTTGACCTCAATTTCTTTAACAACCGTAAACTTTGTTTTGCTTTTCTCCCTCCCCATGATTCATGTTGATCTCAACTGTAAAAAAAAAAGGGGGAACATGCAATAATAATGTATATAAAATGATTACCAATGATGGTTTGATTTCTTGTTAGGTACCTCAATAACCACCTCTTGAACCTCTTTGCTGGAGCCTGGGAGAAAAGAGATGTGTCTCCACTTCCTGTTGACATCCCACAAGCCACAGACGATCAGGTAAGACTGCTCTTATCAGTAAAGGTGGGATACAACATGTTTTAGACAAATACACACTATCAGTCAGTATTGGTCATCTCTCTCACTATGTACAGTAATAAGATGGCTTACTCTGAGGTTAAAATGTTGTTTTTTCCCCCTCTTATTACAAATAGGTACAAAAGTGCATCGAGTTAGTGAGTCGAGCCAAGAAACCTGTTATTTTGCTTGGTAGCCAAGCAACACTCCCCCCAACGCCAGCCGATGACATCAGGTAAAGCACAATGTGTTGAACCCCCCCCGCCCTCTTTCTCTACTTTCCTATCCTGTGTCCTTCTTTTCCTGTCAAAGAATAGCATTGAAGGCTTTTTTGACAAATTTACTTAGAAATGCTCATCTGGGAATTCATGTTTTTCTGCTGTATAGGAAGGCTTTGGAGGACCTGGGCATCCCCTGCTTCCTCGGAGGTATGTCCCGGGGCATGCTGGGTAGAGACAGTCCCATCCACATCAGACAGAACAGACGAGATGCTCTGAAGGACGCTGACCTGGTGCTCTTAGCAGGTCAGACACACACTCTTCAAATGTAATTACTAGATGTTGACATAGCAATAACAGGTTAACTTAATAATGTAAACTAACCGGGGTAACTGATTTGTGGCATTAGTTGTGGTTTAACAGAATGACAGCTTTTTCTTGCTAAAATAAACGTAAACCAACTCTGGAAGTTCTCTGACCTGTGTGGGCAGTCAGTTTAGCCACAGGCGACCCATTGACTAATTAATGCAAAAAAGATTGGAAAAATAATGTTTTGTCTGCAGGCACTGTGTGTGACTTCCGGCTGAGCTACGGCAGAGTTCTTAACCGACGCAGCAAGATCATCGCTGTCAACAGAGATAAATCGCAGCTGCTGAAAAACTCAGATATGTTCTGGAAACCGACTGTGGCAATTCAGGGTATGTTCACACGCTGCTGCCGTGATGCGTCATCATTATACAACGAATGTGTCATCAGATAGCTGGTGATCTATGAAGGATTTTCCATTAAAAAATACATTTTCGTCACTGGCTTCATTTGTGGTAACTGTGTTACTAACACTAATCCCAGTATGACATTTATTATTCCAGCACTTTGTGACTTTTAACACACATCTCTTACTAATAATTTATACTGAAGCTTTGGACCAAATGGCAAATACATCAGTTAAACTGTTAGAGTCTTAAATGTCCATTTTGCTCCATTTTAGGTGATGCTGGTTCTTTGCTAATGAAGCTTGCCAAAGGACTAAAGGGCTATCGCTGTCCAGAGGAATGGCCTCAGAGCCTCAAAGCAGGAGATGTAACCAAAGAGGATAAAAACAGGTGAGCACAGGTGATGATCCCTGTTCTCTGTGAGTGAGTGAGTCATCATGCAATGTTAAAACATCTCTTGAAAACCTCTGTTCTATTATTAAATGACATGTCCTGATTTGATGTTCAACAACAAGAAATCAAAGAAAATCTCATCAATAATTCTAATGTGAATGCAACTACTAATCTGTAACTACAAAATCATCTCTCCACATAAACTAGAGTACTTTTATTTCAGGGCTAAAGCTGACGAGAAGACCGACCGCCACTTAAATCCCTTGAAAGTCCTCCACTGTGTGGATGAGCTGATGTCGGAGGACAGCATCATTGTTGCAGATGGGGGGGATTTTGTTGGAAGTGCTGCTTACATAATGAGACCAAGAGGACCTATGCGGTGGCTGGATCCAGGTTAGATCTCTTTGGCAAATCAACAACTGATGTTTGGTTATTTAAAATGTGAGTGGAGGAGAGGGCATTTCGTTTTAGGACTATAGAACAAGAACCAATCATTTCAAGTCACCTTATTGATTTCAGTTGTTGGCTTTTTTGTCACACACAAAGAGGTTCAAATCTCAGGTCTGCGCTTGTTGTCACAATAGTATGTCTTTACTACAGCAATATGTTCTGGTGTTACTTGCGCTT